TGCACTGCATCAATATCCAAAATGATGGTGTTACAGTCAAACAAATGAAACTAAATGACTTAAAATACAATCTTTTCCAAAAATACAAATGATTACAAGAAAATACAACAGTTTTATAAAAGCAGGAAAAAATACAGGAGCTTAAATTACCATTACTGGCACTGTTACCATGGATATAAGACAACAGTCAAAGATATGAAGCCCACATTCACCCAAACAATACTATCCTGAGATTAAACAGTGATTACATAAGGATCTTGGGATATTTACAGGCTGACCAGCGTATAAGACAAGCTTCGGTGGCCAGCGGCTCACATACATCAATTGTGGCACAAGATTAAGTTTTGATTTAGTGTTTAATACTGTGCATTATATCATCATTATCTCGACCTCTTTAACCCTTATTGACATAAACCAGATGGTGACATTAATAGGAACAACAATATACTGAAAATACAACAAGACACACTTTTAACTTAGGAAATGCCTGATCATTTTACTCTCTTATTTAATTGACAGCTCATTTCTAAATTTGCAAAAATTTAAATTAATTGCTTATTTTCAACATGTGTATCTGGTATATATTATTTTTCAAAGAGGCTTTTCAACGATAGTACAATCAACATCCTGATTTCGTAGTTTTTTAAGCATATATTAACCCTTTGTATATCAAATCAATTCTGACAAACGTCTTCTTCATCTGAATCTTGTCCTCAGTAATAAATGGGAGGTGTAACATCTCACGAAACAGTGTACACGTCAGCTCTCTCCCAACAACTGGACACGAACAGAGCTTCAGTGGTAGAGATGATGAGTAATAACACAATGTATCAATTGCTTCCTGGACCTAACTCAAAAGCAACATAAGCCAAGTCAGTTGTCAAATACAATGTAAAGAAGTTATAAGTACCTTGGAGATCATGCAGTTAAGTAACGTAAGTAGGATTCAAAGCAATGAAAAGCGGCATGTATAGGCTTAAAAAAACAAATTTACAGCATTACACTTGTTGGCATGAAGTAGGGCTGGGACGGGTACCTTGGGTACCCGGGTCAGGTGGGTACTGAGTAGGACCCGGGTACCCACAGGACTACCCGGACCTGTGGTTAGTCATGTGATATCTTGTTTAAAATGACAAAAATTATCTAGAACTCTATCGTTACACTATAAGTCACAAACGTTCACATTTCTTTCTGACTATGCACCCATTCTTTCTGACTTTTCATATGGTTGAATAAAGATATAAATGAAGTCAACTTCAGTGTATGCATGACCAGATTGTTTAATACATGTATCTAAATACATTTTGCCAGGGCTATGGTAAAAACATCCCAACCTACTGTGGGTACCCAGGTAGGGTCAGCTAATGGGTATCCAGGTAGTAAATTTGGACTCGTCCCAGCCCACACATGAAGCATCAGTTTCTCGTGTGCAGCAATATGCATTGTATTGCACATTGCCTGGGTCATTACACAATATTGTGAACTGTATTCTGTGCTAAGTACATAGGAGTGAGTGTCTTGTGGTCTAACCTGCTTCTCAGGATTTTAGTTTATAAAGTCATTCATAATACGGCAGGAATTCCTAAAATTGTGTGGGTCCATGACCTTTACAGCTCCGGAGTGAGTGAGTGATTGAGTGAGTAAAAGAGTGAGTGAAATAGTTAGGCTTTGAACAGTATTCCAGTCAACCATGCCGTGTCAGCTTAATGTTGAAGGAAAGCCCGAAGTGATGCAGGTCTTAAATGTTTACCACTTGGGTGAAACCCACGAGCACGGGTATGGTGCTGTTATTCCAGACACCTTTGTTCCAGGGTAAATTGTTCAAATTAATAATTCCGGACCAACAATAATAGCTACACAGTAACATCTATTCAATTAGAAAACCTGTACGGTTTCCTAACAGTGATCTCCCAAAGCTTCTTGTAGCCATGGTTCCAGAGTAACCATCTCCACGGCAACAGGCTCCAGAGACAAACCGTCGTACATTCCGGGGGTAACAAATGTGGTTTAGGTAAAACTGTTCTGACAAGAGGCTTAAACTGTGACAAAAAAAATATTCAGCCTTGTATACGCCTTGATAAGACTCGAGCACAGACCTTATAACAAGCTCTACCTATGAAGGGAAATAACGAACACATAAAGCAGAAGCTTAACAATGTGTAAAGGATTTTTGACACAATAACATTACAACGTAGACACATAAACTGTCATCTCTCTATGTATCCTATAGATGAAGCTAAGCTTAACTCCGACTGAACACACGACATGGCTAATAAAGTGAATACAAAATGTGCTTACTCAGCATATAAAGACGAAAAATGGTCCTTTGAGTGTAATATAATTGTAAATCAAGCAGATATATCAATATATGAAAATGTACTTAAAGCAGGATGAGTTTATCTATAGAAATATATATATTTACACTGTACATAAAATAAATTCCGTATTTACACACAACCCATGTGATTAATTAAAATACCACACTTGACCTAACATGGGACTCTCCAGACTTTCGATGCTTCTACGTAACCAATCAGCAATATCGATCAGAAATGGAATTTGTATTGAGAAGTAAAGCCTCAAGTGGTCTGAAACTGAAAACTCAGTGGCTACATCAACCAATAGCAGTTCCATATAATCATTGAAGGAATTATTTCATTTATTTCCCTGGCCAACATATTATTTTCTTGTTCTGGAGATGAGCCTTCCAGACATTTTGTCAAAAAGGAAAAATCTAAATGTATATATGACATTAATGCTCTTCCTTAACATCAGTTTGTGAGTGAGTAGGTGAGTGAGTTAGTGCATGAGTGAGTGAGTGAGTGAGTGCATGAGTGTGAGTGAGTGAGTGAGTAGGTGAGTGAGTTAGAGCATGAGTGAGTGAGTGAGTGCATGAGTGTGAGTGAGTGAGTGAGTTAGTGCATGAGTGAGTGAGTGAGCGACTTGGGTTTGATACCCACGAGCACAGGTATGGTGCTGACAAACTTAGAAACACAATTGAGGTGAACCAGCCTTCAAACCCCTTAAAAATGCTGGATCAGCCCTGGTCCTTAACTGGTCATAATACTTCTTCCTTGTACATATAAACATTCATGGGTGATTCAAAACAGCCATGAAATTCACATCTTATAACCATTTTGAAAATTAAGAAAATAATAACTGTGAAAATAATTCCTTCAACAATGATCCCACAAAGCCTTATGACATGGATCAGTGGCATATCACCACCAACCATGAGTGAGTGAGTGAGTTGGGTTTATCGCTGCTTTGAACAGTATTTCAGTTATACCACACAGAGTATCAGTTTGAAGTGGGAGGAAAGCCCAAAGTGATGCAGGTCTGATACGTTTACCACTTTGGTGAAACCCACAAACACGGGTATGGTGCTAACAAAGCTAGAATCGCAACAGGATTTGCACCCATGATCAAATGCAGTGCAGAAAGCCTATGCTAGATCCAATGTGGCACCCCTTGTACATTTGTGGGTTATAAATCTGCCCTTTTGTTCCTGAACACTTGGTTTGGTCCATAATATCAGCAAAATGTCAAGAACAAGGTCTTCAAACTGAAAATCAACTATACAGTTGTCACTACCTTAAAAGGCCTTTCTCTAAAAATGCATTTCTTACAACTATCTCTAACACCTTTTGATATTCAATGTGGATTCAATGATAAAGTGAGAGCGGAGTTTGGTTTAACGCCACTTTGATCAGTTATGTCCTGGCTTGTTAGCTTGAGATAGAGGAAAGACTGAAGAAACGCAGGTTAATTACCAGTGAAACCAATGTACAGACTCACCAGGCATAATCAGAGTGAACTAGCTGATCCTGGCAAGGTAAGGGACACAACTCTGCACAGTCTCTTTGCTGAAACCTCACGGCATGGATTTGATAGATCAAGGACCAGAAGCAAGAAAGAGACTGAGGCCAGTCTAGTTATTCCATACTGATTGATACTACATCGCCAAGTTGTCCCGCGATTCTCTGAGAACTGATTTAATTACAAGAAAAACACACTATTTTACCACATTACAAAATAGAGGTCTTCAAAACAGCATAAAGTAATAATCTTTAATAAGCTAAAATAATCTTTACTACTTCACAATGGCCTCTTAAGGTAATGACTACTTCATGGTAAAAATATCTCGATGATAACGATCTGTAGAGAAGACATGATGCATCGGACTGATAAAGAACAGTTACCGTATTTGACATATTTAATATCTTTAAAGATTCTTTCTTTCAGTGACATCCTGGTGTGTCAGCTTAACATGGAAGGAATGACCAACATGATGCTGGTTATAGATATTTACCACCTTAGTGAAACCCATGACACAGGTTAGTGCTAACATAGGAGGATAACTGAGCAATACTAGTGATCATCAAATCCTTTCACTGCTAAGGGACACAACTCTGTACATCGAATTGCGGCAACCTAGGCAACATCGCCACTCTTGCCCACTTGTTAACCATTTCCCATTTATACCAATACCTGGTCCTAAGGACATACAGAGCTTCATGTATTCAAAAGGGGCAGAGGGTTAGCCCAGTAGTTCAGGTGTTGGCTAATCACACTGAGGACTGAGATTGATCCCTTACCACATTGGTAGTATTGCAGCCATTTCACTGTGGAATATCAAGAATGGCTTCACAAACAGTATACATATGTAGAACCAGGTCTTCTCGATGAGCAAACACACTACCCACTGGGCTACCACACTGTCCTTCCAGTAGTATATAAGACTGCCTCCGTGGTCTAGTGGTAGAGCGTCCGCCCGGAGAGCGGAAGGTCCGGGGTTTGATCCCCGACCGCGTCATACCAAAAGACGTTTAAAGATGGTACTTGTTGTTACACTGTCTGGCGCTCGGGGATAAAACGAGGACTGGTCGGCTCGGAGTCAGTATACTGTGTGTGAGTGGGGTATTCATGTTAAACTGCGGCATGGTATCTCAGTGAGCTAGCACTATAAATCGGCATCAGTCTGGACTAGTACAAGCAGCCACACACACACATACACGTGCATGCACGTCGCTATGTAAGTGCAATAATCTTGGACGCGACGTTAAAACCCCACTTCACCTCACCTCACCTCACCTCCAGTAGTATATCAGTTCGTGTCAGCTTAATGCTGGAGAAAGTCTAATGTGATGCTGACTGTGAACATATACACTGAAAAACTATGTGCTGGGGATGGTGTAGACAAACCATATAACTCGATCAGTTTGAATCCAGAATTTGAACCTAATCATCTGATCCAGACAGGTAAGGGACACAACTCTGCACAGCTAATTGATTCCTAATGGAAGATGTCCGATAAGGTGATATATTTGTGTTATTAAACTGTCACAAATTAATCTTTTCGCACACAAATTGACCAACATGTTCTCAACAAGAAATTCACCATGTCAAATAGGGTACTGTTCTGTCAGCAGAGGAAACCAAGAACTTATGTTTACAAGACATACCTGAATTGATGAACAACAAACTGTCAGCTTTGGTATTTCTTGGAATTATCTCAAACACACAGAGTATTAATGATGTATATAACAAAGACACTACGAGTCTACCACCTACTTTCTCTAACACTTCTAAAACACTCAGCTACTTAACGAAGTGAGCACAGGTCGTTGGAGACAATGTTTCGATCATCTGTGAAATACTGTCATTAATACTTACAATATCACCATGGGTATGCATATACAATGAGTGGCTTCAACCCTCGGGGGGATCAGTTTCTAAAATGTTTTGTGAGCTCGTACTCAAAATAATTGGTTTCAAAGTTTCACGACAGTTAGGTAGTGAAATTGCTCTGCACCAACAAACTCGCAAATAAAACCTCTTTGGACACAGATTAAAATTAATTATACAAATTAAAACAACTTGTTTCCAAACAATGGCTTTTGAAAACATATCATGTTAATTATAACATTGGAATTTCATTATTGTATTTTGTGAAAAGGTGACTTTTCAGGATTTTAATGATTTTCATCTGCCGATGCTTGTGAACCAAATATGCTTGTCAAGTTGTGCTGGTAACTACACACACATTACCAACTGTGATTTCACTCACGTAGTACTTTCAGTGTAATACCCTTTCCTGGATACAAGTTTCTACGCTACCGAGCTGAGGGACAAGTCTTTTAGGGGATGTTTGCACTAGGCTGGCCACCTGGGATCAACAAAGACCACAAAAACAATAGACACGAATCAAATGCATGATGTAAGCCAATACATTTCATACCATCCCCCACCCAGTAAAAATATTACAGAGGGATTCTTTGACCAAAATAATTATATCCATAGATGCATTCTGATTGGTTCACATTATCCCATACAGCTCTGATCGCTTGGAACACGAGTCTTCTTCAGGTTATGGAAAGTGACGAGTGCTGACAAATGTGATACCATAATGATGGTTCCTTTAGGGCAAAGGGCAGTCTTCGAAATTCATGCTGGTCCCCCAGCTTGAGACTACCAAATTTTAAGAAGTAAAAATCCAATAATGATACTCAGTGCCCAGTAGCATTTGACGGCTATATTTCTGAACCAGTTTTTAATGCTTCAATTTTGTAACAAACTGGAACTGATTGAAACTGACAGAAAAATTAACATAATAAACAATTTTGTCTTGTTCAAGCAGGACTAAGTACAAACCCCCAGGTCCAGCGAAATAAGGTTTACTCTAGTCATCTGGACTTGCAAAAAACCCAAATTCCTAAGACTGCAAAGGGGAGTAACTCCAAATTCATAGTCCAAAACCCAGGATCAGTTGTCCCCCTTCATCCTAAATGCCCAGTCCAGTGTTAGGCTGCACTACATAAGCATTCATTTCTCTGTATATTATGTATAAACTATAGGACAAGATATCAGCAAGTGTGATCCTCTCACTCTTCCACCTGTCTTCATCAGGCAATCACTGGATTCAACATGAAATCAAATAAATATGGGACATTTTCATTGCAGTTGCACGAAACACCATATGAAATATTTGAAAATGTAGAAATGTAGAAATCAGTATGAATATAAAATGTAAATATTTCACAGGATGTAAACAGCGAGTCTCCCCTTCCGACAGAGGCAACATGGTGGGGATCACCAGTGTACACACCTGTGTCGAGTTGATGCAAGTCCGACCTGGAATGTTCTAATCTAACCATGCAAGTAGTGTTCAACTTTGAAAGTCATTTTCTCACCCTGAACACAGCTCAAACAGAGTCCATTCTAGCAAAAACACATGCATGTGCACTGGTGACGAAAATGATTATTTAGAAAATGTGTCCTCATTAATATATAAAAAAGTGTGGTTATTTCACAAAATATTGTTGTCACAGGCACTTCAAACCATGATTTCATCAGGGTCATTTTTTCCAGCTGGGCCTTTCTTCTTCTCCACAACTGGAGAGCCATCGTCTCCATTTTCCTTATCCGGAGTTGCCTCCCCTGATTTAGAGTCTGACTCTTTACTTTGGGAGTCTGAGCTTATATTTCCAGGTGCGCCGTCACATTCGTCGGGTGTTAAGATTGAACTGTCAGACTTAACATCATCCTTAGAATCATCTGATGCATCTGTTTGAACAGAAACAGTTTAATCTGATCATTTGTACTAGTTTCACACACCACCTTCATAATGTTAAGATTTAAGCATTCTTCTACTGTCTATGGTACCGAATGATCCAGAAAACTAAATTACAGCAGCAGAGAGGATTGAAGAAAAGCTTGTGTATTTTAATGTTAGAGTAGGTGAGTGAGTGAATATGGTACGCTCCCCTTTTAACAATATTCCACCAATATCATTATGGGACACCAGAAATGAGGACTCAGATTGAACCCATGTGGGCAATCGAACCCAGGCCTTTGGAGCAATTAGCAAACACATTATCCATTTGGCTGCCCCATGCCATTATTTGTTAGAATCGGGAAAGTAAGGTTTTATTTATCTATGAGATACAATTCCGTGATCACTAACAACAAAATCTCCCAAACTTGAGAGTATGTTAAAAAAATTATCCTTCTTCTCTAACCTGAATCCCTTGGAAGGGAGCCTGTCTTGGCCTTGACAGAAGGGGGTGTCTTGGTTCCATCGTGGATGCGCATCGCTTTCTGCTTCACGGTCAACCGCAGTGTGGCTGAATCGTACACCACACCTTCCTCAGGCTTCTTCTCAGGGCTTTCACAGGACCCTAGGTCCACAAAGGAGGACACACATTTCAACAGTTTGATTCATGAGTGAGTGAGTGAGTGAGTGAGCATGTGAGAGTGAATGCGTGAGTGAGTGAATGAGCATGTGAGTGAGTGAGTGAATGAGCATGGTGTGAGTAAGTGAGTGAGCATGTGAGAGTGAATGAGTGAATGAGCATTTGAGTGAATGAGTGAATGTGCATTTGAGTGAATGAGCATTTGAGTGAGTGAGTGAGCATGTGAGAGTGAATGAGTGAGTGAGCATTTGAGGGAATGAGTGAATGTGCATGGTGTGAGTAAGTGAGTGAGCAAGTGAGAGTGAATGAGTGAATGAGCATTTGAGTGAATGAGCATTTGAGTGAATGAGCATTTGAGTGAGTGAGTGAGCAAGTGAGAGTGAATGAGTGAATGAGCATTTGAGTGAATGAGCATTTGAGTGAATGAGCATTTGAGTGAGTGAGTGAGCATGTGAGAGTGAGCATTTGAGTTAGTGAATGAGCATGGCGTGAGTGAGTGAGTGAGAATGTGAGAGTGAATGAGCGAGTGAGCATTTGAGTGAATGAGTGAATGTGCATTTGAGTGAATGAGCATTTGAGTGAGTGAGTGAGCATGTGAGAGTGAATGAGTGAGTGAGCATTTGAGGGAATGAGTGAATGTGCATGGTGTGAGTAAGTGAGTGAGCAAGTGAGAGTGAATGAGTGAATGAGCATTTGAGTGAATGAGCATTTGAGTGAGTGAGTGAGCAAGTGAGAGTGAATGAGTGAATGAGCATTTGAGTGAATGAGCATTTGAGTGAATGAGCATTTGAGTGAGTGAGTGAGCATGTGAGAGTGAGCATTTGAGTTAGTGAATGAGCATGGCGTGAGTGAGTGAGTGAGAATGTGAGAGTGAATGAGCGAGTGAGCATTTGAGTGAGTGAGTGAATGAGCATAGTGTGAGTGAGTGTTTGAGTGAGTGAGTGAATTAATGTCACTTTGAACACAATCTCATAAAAATCAAATCTTACTCTTGTGGAGATCTGAGGACACAACCATAGGAGGTTGCGTCAGGTGAGTTTTCTAATAAACCAATCAGTGTCGAGGCGTTTAAATTCTCAATATGCGTGACTGAAGCATTCAAACCATCATGTCTGATTTCTGTATCTCTGTAACGAATTAATACACCAAGTTTCGAAAGTAGAAGGTGAAGGAGCATCATTATAATGTTGTGGATATTTCAAACACCCTGTCGTTTCGGATCACCGTGGTACCTTCACCCAACAGGAAGGACAATCAAGGTGGTAAAAAAATGAAGCCAAATCATTTTAGAAAGCTGACATCTGATTGGATGAAGAATCCACATTGCCTTTATTTAGAGTGGGCAGTGAAAGTAAACTGAGCGTTGTATAAGACAAGTATGCGCTTTTGTATTTGACACGAACACTGTTTTGCACAAGACTAGATGACAGTTTTCCCCTATTGTAAGAATTTTCGCTTCAAAGACAATTAATATATTTGTTTCCGTTTGTTGTTTAAAACTTCACTAAGCAATGTTCCAGCTTTATGATAGTGGCCTGTAAGAGCTTCACTCTGGACCAGACAAACCAGTGATTGATGTGGTACAATGACATGCAGTGAACAAAGTTACCACGTCTGATGGTCATACAGATGATACGGGCTCATTACCATAACAGCTAAAACAAAGGTTTATCTCAACATCAATAACTTGCAAGGGATTCTGTTGCATTTGTTTGGCATTAGCTAAGCAAGCAATTTCTTCTTGCGTTTATGTTCCCATAAACCTAAAATATGTAGCCCACAATCCACAAGTGTAAAACTGTTTTCTGATTGGGTGATATTTGAATGGGTGGGACTTTTGTTGGATTATTGCCGCTTAACGATTTCACTGATTTCCTATTGTTGTCCACATTATTGTGTGTAAAGCAGTCTGTGAAGTAATCTTTTTTATGCATTTATTTATAAGAATTGACTTCAATATTTCTTTGCCATTTAGGGCGTTCTAAACACACAAAACCAGTGTGTTCACTTTGCGTAAATCTGACTTACCTTCCTCCTCTACTGGAGAGTCTTTAGCTAATCTGAGGCTGTTGCGAGGCTTCGGTGGCAACTGGGGGGGCTTCTTGGGGGGCAAGGGGCGAGCTGGAGGTTTTGGGGGACCGTCACCTACACAGGCCACAGTAAATAACCACATGACATCAAGTGCTCAGTGACAGTAGACAAAAGAACATGAGACACTTCTTGCATTATGTTTGTTTGTTGTTTAAAGTCATACTCTGCAATACAGTAAACTACGGTTATAACGAACTCAAAGGCACCACTTATTTTAGTTTGTTATAACCGTAGTTCATTATAAGCACATATACAGCATATATACAACAAATGTCCGGGACTAAAAAGTAAGTTCGTTATATCAGTCAGTTCGTTATAACGTGTTCGTTATAACCGTAGTTTACAGTATTTCAGTTACTGATATCAGTCCTGATAAGTAAGGAAAAGATATATGGAAGAACAACTTCTTTATTTCTTTATTGCTATTATTATTGTTCATCCATATATCTTATCCTTTTGTAGTGCTCCAACTTCTAAATGCCTCTCAAAGAAGTTATGTCTTGATAGTCTGTAAATAATAAAGTCTTGACCAGACAGTCTGACATACTACTTGCATGGCACATGTAAAAGGTTCGACTAATATCTTAAAATCTTCTAGAACCCACTACACTGACTAATGAACTAAGCTCTTAGATCTCTTCATGGACTGGAACCTGATACCATACTACTGAAAAAAAAATAAGGATCACCTGATTCTTTCATATCACTATACTTAATCTATCATGTCATGACTGATCAACTGTAGCTATATGAAAGAATTGGGTTATCCCTAACTTTTTTGAGTAGTATAGAGGTTGAGTACTCACCATCAACAGCAGGGGCGGGGCTGGAAGACATGACCGTGGGGCGTTTTGCTGCGAGGCCGCGCGGGGCTGGGACGGGGTTTTTTGCTGTCACTGTTGCTGCCCGTGTCGGGGCTTTCTTCTCCTCTGCGCTCTCTCCGCCCTTGGCAGGGTCCGACTTCTCCCCGATGTTGTTGTTGGTCTCCGGTTTCCCCTTCTCCGTCTGATGGAGAATTACATAACATATTCATCCAAACCTGGGCCAATGTGGAGAAAGCAACCTCTGGTTTCCCCTTCTCCGTCTGATGGAGAATTACATAACATATTCATCCAAACCTGGGCCAATGTGGAGAAAGCAACCTCTGGTTTCCCCTTCTCCGTCTGATGGAGAATTACATAACATATTCATCCAAACCTGGGCCAATGTGGAGAAAGCAACCTCTGGTTTCCCCTTCTCCGTCTGATGGAGAATTACATAACATATTCATCAAAACCTGGGCCAATGTGGAGAAAGCAACCTCTGGTTTCCCCTTCTCCGTCTGATGGAGAATTACATAACATATTCATCCAAACCTGGGCCAATGTGGAGAAAGCAACCTCTGGTTTCCCCTTCTCCGTCTGATGGAGAATTACATAACATATTCATCAAAACCTGGGCCAATGTGGAGAAAGCAACCTCTGGTTTCCCCTTCTACGTCTGATGGAGAATTACATAACATATTTATCCAAACCTGGGCCAATGTGGAGAAAGCAACCTCTGGTTTCCCCTTCTCCGTCTGATGGAGAATTACATAACATATTCATCCAAACCTGGGCCAATGTGGAGAAAGCAACCTCTGGTTTCCTCTTCTCCGTCTGATGGAGAATTACATAACATATTCATCCAAACCTGGGCCAATGTGGAGAAAGCAACCTCTGGTTTCCCCTTCTCCGTCTGATGGAGAATTACATAACATATTCATCCAAACCTGGGCCAATGTGGAGAAAGCAACCTCTGGTTTCCCCTTCTCCGTCTGATGGAGAATTACATAACATATTCATCAAAACCTGGGCCAATGTGGAGAAAGCAACCATGCACTTTCATTTGGTTGGTTGGTTTGTTGTTTGACGCTACACTCAGTAATATTACAGCTATATGACGGCGGTCTGTAAATAATCGAGTCTGGACCAGACAATCCAGTGATTAATTTCATGAGCATCGATCCACGCAATTGGGATTGATGACATGCATCAACCAAGTCATCGAGCCTGACCACCCGATCCTGTTAGTCGCCTTTTACGACAAGCAGTCACCTTTTACGGCAAGCATGGGTTGCTGAAGACCTATTCTACCCCGGAATCTTCACGGGTCCCATGCACTTTGAGACAGAACATATTTTCAATCAGTGTTCAAGTCAGTATTGTTCTCTGAAAGAATGAGCCAAACCATTTTGGTGGATCATACAATACATTATTTTTTAAAACAACTTCCATGATTGTATTTTGTGATATCATGTTCTCTTTTCCCAGCATTTTCGAGAACATTTTTTCTAAAAAAATCTCCGTGATTATCCCCCAAACAGCTTCACATCTATGTGCAAGTGTTGTACCAAGGTATGACTTCACGGAACAGGTACTATGCCATTGTCCGCCTGATACAAGGAACTCTTAATACTGAACAAGCTCTACCCTACATACAACTGCAAGTCTTACCAGCACCATGGGAGGGGGTCTGAGGGGGGCAGGGGGAATCTCTAGGACAAATGCAAGTCTTACCGGCACCATGGGAGGGGGTCTGAGGGGGGCAGGGGGAATCTCTAGGACAAATGCAAGTCTTACCAGCACCATGGGAGGGGGTCTGAGGGGGGCAGGGGGAATCTCTAGGACAAATGCAAGTCTTACCAGCACCATGGGAGGGGGTCTGAGGGGGGCAGGGGGAATCTCTAGGACAAATGCAAGTCTTACCGGCACCACGGGAGGGGGTTTGAGGAGGGCAGGGGGAATCTCTAGGACAAATGCAAGTCTTACTGACACCACAGGAGGGGGTCTGAGGAGGGCAGGGGGAATCTCTAGGACAAATGCAAGTCTTACCAGCACCATGGGAGGGGGTCTGAGGGGGGCAGGGGGAATCTCTAGGACAAATGCAAGTCTTACCAGCACCATGGGAGGGGGTCTGAGGGGGGCAGGGGGAATCTCTAGGACAAATGCAAGTCTTACCGGCACCACGGGAGGGGGTTTGAGGAGGGCAGGGGGAATCTCTAGGACAAATGCAAGTCTTACTGACACCACAGGAGGGGGTCTGAGGGGGGCAGGGGGAATCTCTAGGACAAATGCAAGTCTTACCGGCACCATGGGAGGGGGTCTGAGGGGGGCAGGGGGAATCTCTAGGACAAATGCAAGTCTTACCAGCACCATGGGAGGGGGTCTGAGGGGGGCAGGGGGAATCTCTAGGACAAATGCAAGTCTTACCGGCACCACGGGAGGGGGTTTGAGGAGGGCAGGGGGAATCTCTAGGACAAATGCAAGTCTTACTGACACCACAGGAGGGGGTCTGAGGAGGGCAGGGGGAATCTCTAGGACAAATGCAAGTCTTACCAGCACCATGGGAGGGGGTCTGAGGGGGTCCAAGGGGAGGGAATCTGTGGGACAAATGCAAGTCTTACCAGCACCACGGGAGGGGGTCTGAGGGGGTCCAAGGGGAGGGAATCTGTGGGACAAATGCAAGTCTTACCAGCACCACGGGAGGGGGTCTGAGGGGGTCCAAGGGGAGGGAATCTGTGGGACAAATGCAAGTCTTACCGGCACCACGGGAGGGGGTCTGAGGGGGTCCAAGGGGAGGGAATCTGTGGGACAAATGCAAGTCTTACCAGCACCACAGGAGGGGGTCTGAGGAGGGCAGGGGGAATCTCTAGGACAAATGCAAGTCTTACTGACACCACAGGAGGGGGTCTGAGGAGGGCAGGGGGAATCTCTAGGACAAATGCAAGTCTTACCAGCACCAGGGGAGGGGGTCCAAGGGGGGCAGGGGGAATCTCTAGGACAAATGCAAGTCTTACCAGCACCATGGGAGGGGGTCTGAGGGGGTCCAAGGGGAGGGAATCTGTGGGACAAATGCAAGTCTTACCAGCACCACGGGAGGGGGTCTGAGGGGGTCCAAGGGGAGGGAATCTGTGGGACAAATGCAAGTCTTACCAGCACCACGGGAGGGGGTCTGAGGGGGTCCAAGGGGAGGGAATCTGTGGGACAAATGCAAGTCTTACCGGCACCACGGGAGGGGGTCTGAGGGGGTCCAAGGGGAGGGAATCTGTGGGACAAATGCAAGTCTTACCGGCACCACGGGAGGGGGTCTGAGGGGGTCCAAGGGGAGGGAATCTGTGGGACAAATGCAAGCCTTACCAGCACCATGGGAGGGGGTCTGAGGGGGGCAGGGGGAATCTCTAGGACAAATGCAAGTCTTACCGGCACCGAGGGAGGGGGTCCAAGGGGAGGGAATCTCTGGGACAACCGCTTCTCCTGTTTCTGTTTCATCTCGGCCAACAAGTTCCCACCAAGTCCGATCTTAGGCATCCCTGCAGGGAGCTTGTGTGCAGCTTCTGGTTCCTCCTCCTCCTCGTCCTTTGTGTTCTCCGCTGACGACAAAACGACACAGGTCATACAGATGCCAATCAGGCTGAAACCTTCACCTTCATTCTGTGACTAACACTTCTGAGTCAACTTGCCAGGACCTCGTTCCACAAAGTGATCTGAGCGCTGAGATGATCATAACTCCCATACTTTAACATCATTTTCAGCTTCGATTATTAGCTTCGATTTCTAGACTGCAAACGTGTTGGGCCCATGTTGGGACTAGTGGCTAAAATTGACCATTGCACAAACATCAGATTTTCTGGGAAAACTCTAACTGGAATAGTCCTTCCTAACATCAAAAGCACCTTGTAATACAGTACAGCTGTCCACACTCATACTTCTCTATGACTTAACTGTCTTCCTAACGTGGATAAATAGAATGAAAGTAACCACCAAAAACCATCTTCCCGAGGCAAGAGAGTTAACTGACTTTAAAAGTCCAGTTTCAACCCTTGCCGAACTAGGCTGGAATTTCTGGGCTCGATCGTAGCGCCACCAGTGGCTATTACGAGTTATGTCATTTCTATGCCTCTCCTATTGACCAATCAGATTCAACCTCTCGTATCACTTGTATTTGCTTCAAACAAAACGGTGGCGCCCAGTCAAGACGATCTGATTGATAATCAAGATCTATATTGTGATAAAACGAGTTTTACATCGCGAAGTGCATCAAATCACGTGAGCACCTTGATTAAAAGCATGAAAAGCATGATATCTGTTGACTACGAGTTAGCGGTGCACATGCTTTGCAAATCCTGCAGTCGACCGAAATCTGCATGACACTTTACGAACCGGACTCGTTAGTCCAGCCAAAATGTAACTCCATAATACCAGCCTAGTTGGGCAAGGGTGGAAACTGGACTTTTATAGTCATCTAACTCACTTGCCTCGGGAAGATGGCCAAAAACTTGCAGCCATAATCATTATACAAGGGACAGTTTTCCAGCAGTTTTACTCAAGTGAGTTTGTTGGTTTTAAAACAGCTCAAACTACATTTCATATCATTGTGGGGGACACCAAGACTTTTTTGTTTGTTTATTGTTAACGCCACCTCAGCAATATACCAGCTATTTGATGACTGCCTCTAAATAATCAAGTCGTGACCAGGCAATCCAGTGATCGATATTGTGAGCAACGATCCATGCTGTCAGAGTACGATGACATGCTATCAACCGAGTCACAGAGCCTCGTCACCCAATCTATTTAGTCGCCTCTTACATCCATCAACCATCATTTCTTGGGACCTATTCTAACCAGGAAACCACAAGGGATCAAAAGGTCTATGCTTTGTAGCCACATATGTGGGAAATCAAACACGGGCCTTAGATATGACAAGCTAATGCCCTAACCTGTAGGCAACGCCATGGTGATCAGCATAGAATAGGTCTTCAGCAACCCATGCTTGCAGTAAGAGGCGACTAACAGGATCGGCGGGTCAGGCTCACTGACTTGGTTGATGCACGTCATCGTATCCCAATTGCATAGATCCATGCTCATTATGTCAATATCGTCCTATGCACTTCAAGTCTAATGACCTTGACCTTCAATATCAGTCATGAGCTGACAGGAAAATTTCAAATTTCCATCACAGATGGTGTTAACTGTGCAACAGAGAGTGAAGCTCATTCATGATATACACCCACCGCATACTGCTTAACACTGCTACAAAGTGGGTCAACATCTACTCCCCTATCTTTCAGACTCTCAGTTTCTTACCTTCTGCCAGTGGAGCGCCATCTGTCTTCACTTCTTCAGTCTTTGTCTCTGGAGCCTGCTCCTTCTCTCCATTGGTCACCTCCACCTCTTTTGGGTTCAAGGTCGGCTCAACCTCTGTCTCGGACTTCACAGCTTCCGTGGGAGTCTCAGGAGGCTCAGATATCTCAACCTTGGACTCCTTTGGTTCAACCTTTGTCTCTTTAGGTTTTGTGGGCTCAGCTGTCTCCTTTGGCTTTAAGACCTCAAGCTTTGCCTCTTTCGGTTTGACAGTCTCAACATTAGACTCCAAAGGTTCCACTTTTGGTTCTTTTGGATTCAAGTCTTCAACTTTCCCTTCACTGGGTTTCACGGCTTCAACCTTTGTCTCCTTGGGCTTCAAGGCCTCGACCTTAGTCTCCTTTGGCTTCAAAGCTTCAACTTTTTGTACTTTAGGCATCAAGGCTTCAAGCTTTGTGTCTTTCACCTCACTGGTTTTCACGGCTTCAACTTTTGTCTCCTTGGGCTTCAAGGCCTCGACCTTGGTCTCCTTTGGCTTCAAAGCTTCAACTTTCTGTACTTTAGGCTTCAAGGCTTCATACTTTGTGTTATTAGGTTTTGTGACCTCTGTTTTCACTTCCTGGGGTTTGGTGGGCTCAGGTTTGTCCTTGCTCTCATCAAGTATATCCAGCTTTTTAGGTTCCTCTGGTTTCACCTCTGCTTTAAGGTCTGTCTTAGAATCTGATTTCTTATCCTTTCCATTCACATCTGCTGACTTGCCGCCACTGGTTTTACGATGGAAGAAGTTGGAGAACCCTGATGCAATGGATCTGTGAAACACAACGCCTCAGTTACAGCAGAGTTTGAAATATGAAAACTGGCCCAGCCTAAGTTTGCCAATTTAGTTCAAACTTGTTACAACTGGTTACTGCTGCCATGCAGATGACAGAAATAAACTTTGCAAACAGATTTACAAGGAAATGAGTGCATGCGCTACCAATCTGTACCTGATGAATCCTAATGACCTGTAATCCTCAATTTACTTGTTTCTTGGACACATTTCTTTTCACACAAAAATACAATTGTCTCAATCATCACTGCCTTTCTTCCAATCATCCCAAATTCATATAAGCTGAGAAAATTCTATATTAAAGAAGATAAATAAAGACCAGTGGACATTCCTAAGTGTTGAGTGAGTGAGTGAGTCGTGTTAATGCCGCCTTCCACAGTATTTCAGATATATCACATGTGGAAAGCTTGATGTGGAAAGCCTGATGTGGAGCAGGTCTTAAGATGTTTGCTGCTTCCTTGAAACCCACAGGCATGGGTAGGGTGCTGACAAACCAAGAAACATAATCAAGGCAAACCAGAATTCGAAGCGCCAAACATTTGATCCTGTCACACATAAGGGACAAAACTCTGCACAGCAAAATGTGGCACCTGAAACAACTGGGCCTCCCGTGCCCCCTCTTCCTCAAGTACCTCTGTGAGAGGACTGTTATCATTGACGGACCAACAGAATACAATCTGGACAACAAAAGAATTAGTAAGAAGATAGAAACGTACGATTTTTCCTTCTTCTCCTTTTCTTTGGAAGAACTCTTATCTTTGTCCTTGGAGAACCAGCGTTTCTTGCCCTCAGGTTTCCTAGAAATGTGAATGAAGAAGAGAACTTAAGACACTCATCTATTTTGATAAACACAGTCAACAGAACATCATGAAGATGTGATAATTCACATGGAGACACTGTCGCAACATCTGATAAAAACACATACAGGTACACTCAAAAGTAAAACATAGCGGGGGTTATGCTTTCCTCAAATCCATTCCTCAATTAATATCAGTTTTCCTATATGTCACTAATGGAGGCTCAATTGAGTCTCTGTGTAAGAAAAGTCTGCCAGTGGAAGAGAGATTAGTGATAATATTTGATTCTGACGTCATGGTAACCGACGACATCACAACGGTTTGAAAAGCATTGTGATGCAATTTCATGCAAGGACAATGCAGCGACATCTAGGAGAATACATAAATACATTTATTACTCATAGGGATACAAATAACCAAGTTCATAAAAATCGTATGTGCATCAGGTCAAATATCACTTCACTTGCACCAGTGTATTATGTACATCATCTGGACGGCATTCAAACCTTATTATGACATGAGGTCGGAATGACGTCACACTAGAAGTGAGTGAGTGAGTGACTATGGTTTTACGCTGCTTTTAGCAATATTCCAGCAATATCAAGGCGGGGGACACCAGAAATGGGCTTAACACATTGTACCCATGTCAGGAATTGAACCCGGGTCTTCGGCTGACGAGCGAACGGTTTAACCACTAGGCTACCCGACCGCCCCACACTAGAAGTAACATCAGAGCTGAAGATGGTTGACATCATTGAATTGAATTTTTATGAAGGAAAAGGAATTAGAAATAATGGGAAATAAAGAAATTATGACACTCGCATGTGTATCATACTTGTTTTAAAAACTCGTAAGAATTTGTGCATTATCCACGCTTTTGCTTGAGAAATATAAGAATTCTGACACTTATTTATAAGTATAATAATCTCTATGTATCATCCAAGCCTGGATTCCACAGGTGATATCTTTATGATAATGTGCAATGCCCACCATTGTGACGTCATTGGTTACCATGACAATCACTTATCAAATGACATCACTCATGTCTCTGCCACTGAAGTTGGTTCATCCTACTTTCTTACAATAAAGCCACTGGTTATAACTCAATACACAGAGAAAAAGTTGGAAGAATTGTTCAAATGATAAATAGAATCTCATCACATACACACTCATCAATAAGTTTAAAACTCCTCGGCAAGTCTCAGAGCTACACTTTTATTGACTCTTGTTGACATATTGGACAACAAAAGACACTTTAAAGGGATTCTCTGTATGTCCCTGGAAATGAAATGCGAATCACCTGCTACAGGGAACAGACTGACACAACGCGTGGAACAGGAGTGAGTTTGGTTAAACAGTATTTTATCCATATCACGGAATGTGTATCGTGGTAGGAAAGCAGGCTGTAGACATTTACTAGTTTGGTTAAACCAATGGACATGTCACAGACAAACCAAGGATCATAATTGCAGCAAATACCGGATTGAAACATATGATCAGCGCATCCTTGTGCATCTAAAGTAAGCAACTCTGTACACTGAATTCCAGTGCCTAAGACTACTGTGTCCATTTTTCCAGATAGACATATATATATCTAAAGAACGATGTCAAGGCAGCAATATGGAATAGAAGAACAAAGAAACAGATCCTGGCACATTTAAGGGACGCAACTCTGCATAGCTCTTCATTATGGTGCTAAGGCCATCAGTGCCCCTCAAGGTGGAAAATGAACTTATGAAACTTAACAAAAATAAAAAAAATTGGTCTTAAACAAAGCTTTGTTTTAAAATCATAACAAAACTTACGACTGTTCTTCTTTGGGACTTGTTGTGGATTCCTTTCTTGATTTAGGAGCATCGCCACTGCTCGATGCCAAACTGTCCTTGGATGCTGGAAGAGTCTTGTAGAAGGCATTGACGCCATCCGTTTCAGTCTCCTCCAAAACACTAGGCGCCACCGGTCGAGTTGGCGGCTTATTCTTCATGCGCTTGGGCCGTGCCTTGTTGAGATGCTGCAGAGTAACGGGGGTCTGCGAGGCCTCAGGGGACTCCAGGGTGTCGAAGGATATTGGCGCTGGGTCTAGAGTGATATTCAATGATTGTGGAATAAAAGAAGGAAGAACACTGGTCTTCACATAAAAGATATACAAGCATTCAGATTGGTTGAAATACACTTGGGTTAAGCAGTCAATTGAAAATAATGGACCTCAGCCTCATTCTATAAAGCAATCTGAGCTCTACAACTGTCGTAATAGATTAACATTAGTTTGTTTGTTGTTACACGCCGCACTCAGCAATATTCCAGCTTTATGATGGCAGTCTGTAAATAATCGAGTCTGGACAATACAATCCAGTGATTGACATCATGAGCATCGATCCACGCAATTGGGAAATGATGACACGCATCAACCAAGTCAGCGAGCCTAACCACCAGATCCCATTAGTCACCTCTTACGATTTACATTAGTCCCAGTGCCAAGCATGCTTTGTGGAACAGGGCACCGCCAGTTGCGGAAATGAAGATCTAGGAACCCATATTGCCCTTAAGAGGATTTTCAGATAAAGACACGGCGACTAGTTTACAAGTCCTAAGTGAGTGAGTGAGTGAGTTGGGTTTAACGCCGCTTTTAACAGCATTCCACTTAAATCGCGGCATCGGGTATGGTGCTGACAAACCTAGAAAGGTTTCTGGTGTGTCCAAGGGACTACTAGGCCACCCATGCCCCCTACAAGTCCTAAGTCGCCTATAAGTGCAATAATCTTGAATGCGACATTAATCTCACTTCACCTCTTCACCTACTGTGCCGTTACACCCATCATGTAAACTTTCCTACCTTTACTTCTGACTTCCTCCTCCAGTCGACCCAGTTTACCATCATGTAGACTGGAGCTCAGGTCGGCCAGGTCATCTGGGGGGAGACAGGGCAATGTTCACAAACAAACGATGTAACCTGTTCAGTCTATACCATCTGCAGTTCTTCATTTATCAAGGTGGATGGAGGTAGTTCTTAGGTAAATATCACAAGGGAATTTCAGTCCAAATACTGGGTAAAAAATATACCATGAAACTAAATCCTCATTTGTGATTCATTGATGGGTTGGTGACTAGATGATTGATGAAGACAAGGCCACTATTTGTTTGTTATTCATGTGTATATACAGCAATAGAAAACCAAACAATAAATAGTTAACAAGTGCTCTGTGAATGACAAATGGTATGGTAAGTTGTTTTCAGGGAATCATCACAATGAAAGTACAATTAAAGCGAGTGGAATTAGTGAAAAGACATAGGATCAACATGTCACACAGGTGATGGAAGGCCTGACCACTGTCACTAATAGGCAATCTATGTGTACTAGCTACCAAACAACTACATAAGCAAGTTTTCCTAGAGATGGCACAAACTAAAACACTAATGAAGCAATACCATTTTGGCCTACTGTCATGGGGACCTAAGAAACATATTGTTTCAAATTACAAAAAATAAAGGAATGGTAACATCAGAATAAATCCTTTACACGAATTTCGATTAAATTTAATAAACAAAAATGTTTACTTCTGTCAAAAATCATCAGTTAGATGTTATCTAATAAAGGTTTAGATATTCATAATCAGAAAAATGAATTTAATCAATTTACATTACATGTAACAAATACATTTGATCTTAAATCATCTAAAGATAAAAAAAACACCAACTGTAAGATGCTATACAATAAAGGATTATACCTTTGGTGTCTGCGCTGCCAGCAGCAGCAGCAGCAACATCATCAACTGCGGCTGAGGGTTTGGGGTCACCGGTGTCTATATCTTGCATTTGCAAAGCTTTGAGAACACGCTCACGGTCTACAGGACAAGACATGACGAAAGCAAGTCAGACATCGCATACAAAGATGAGACGGGGAGGGAGGAGAACCAAGCTGGGATCATTACTTGTTCAAATCTCAAAAAAACTTGGACGATACTCTCATATTACTTTGATTTCTTCATTTGCATTGACACTTGATTGGGGGTTTCACAAGTTCATTATCTTTATGAAATTCGAATGGAGTTTTCACGTTTTTGATTCTGAAAACATGAGCAACTATCCACATTATCAGAGTTCGATGACAAGCAATCAGCAAAGTCACAAAGCCTGACCACTGAATCAAATTCGGTCTCCTCTTACACCAAGCATTAGACCTTTTCTAACCTGGGACCCCCTGACAATTAACCTAGGGTCCAATTCACGAAGCTCTCTTAGTGCTAAGATCGTCCTAAAGGTGTCGTAGCAAAAGAAATCTCAGCAAAGTCTCTTCTCAAAGCTGTCTTAGCGCTAAGTCATCTTTAAGTTTGGAACAAAAGCTAACACAGGGTCGAACCTGTCTTAGAAGCTTAGTGAGAAAATGACTTGGCAGTCTTGTGTTTAATTCCCAGGTGCCCAACCAAGTGGTTTCCACTGGCATTTTCAGTGAGTGAGTGAGTGAGTTGTGTTTTACGCCGCTTTTAACAGTATTACAGTTATATCACGGTATGTCAGCTTAATGTGGGAGGAAAGCCCGAAGTGATGCAGGTCTCAGACGTTTATCACTTCGGTGAAACCCACGAGCACGGGTATGGTGCTGACAAACCTAGAAACATAATCGGGGCGAACCGGGATTCGAACCCACAATCATAGGTTTCTGGTGTGTCCACAGGGGGGAAACTCTGCACAGCCAATCGCGGCGCCTTAGACCACTGGGCCACCCATGCCCCCCCTCTGGCATTTTCATGACACCAACAGATAATTTCAGACTAGGAATTCCCCGAACAATCAAAGACGGTATTTGGAAACCTTGAGCTTATTTTACCTCCGTCGCAAAGATGTGGCTGTCGTCTTAGTTAAGATTAGTGTCATAAGTAAGATAACGTTAAGATGGGTTTAAGACAGCTTCAAGATTAGCTTGTATGGCAGTCGTAATTTTAGTCACATATCGCTAAGATTTGTCATAGGTAAGACAGCTTCGTGAATATGGTGCCTGGTGTTTGGCATGATAAGTTGGCACCTAATCAGCTGGCCACTATATAAAGGGTTGAACAAGATATCGGACCGAGGACCTAGTACCCCAAGATCTGGTTCTCCCTCCTCCAACGTCAACACAAAGCAATGGCGGTCTACATGGATAAACATTCAGTGTCACCACATCTAAAGACTACTGGCGTGATCAGGAGTTAGTTCATAATTAACCAATGACTTTGTGTTACTTCTAAATAATATGCATAGAAACTAAGGACAGTGTCAGTAGTGATGAAAAAAGACAACACTCTTTCTTGATTGGTTTCAGATTCACCTGCCAAAAAAGAATTGAAAGTAGGGGGGAAATCAAATCCAAAATGCCAATTTATGTTATTCCGCAAACTGAGACTTGTGTAATACATCAGTAGAACTGCATGTTGGATGACCAGCTTAACAAACATTGCACATGTGGCAACATATTCATAAACATTTTTTAATAAAAAATATATGTAAATGTGTTGGTTTTTTCCTCCTTTTCTTTCTTGTACCATTAGAACAAGATGTACCCCAACAAATTTGTAAACCAAGAAGTAAAAAAAGTCTGCCAAAGTATGCAATAAGGAACTAATAGTTGTGATTAAATTGTCACTTTCAAACTATAATTGTAAATAATAGACATCAGAAAAAGGTGAAGAATAAAACACTTTTTCAGTTTAGTCGGACCTACACGTGAGATTGGTTATTTGACATGGAAGCAATCAATGAAAAGTTGAAAACGAAGAAGAATAAGTAAATAATGATAGTTACTTCACACACAGAAAACATGAATTACAAGGTGTTTGCATCCATGTTGTTCTAACCAATACATTTCTCTGCTCCCATCGACTAGGAATATAAAGAATTTATACACCAGATCAAAAGGTACCAACCCTGTGAATGTCTTCAGATCAATTTGAACCCTTACAGACCATGTGACCAATCTTACTCGGGTACTAAACCCATAGTGCAAGAAATTGGAGGTTTATTGGGGTTTTTAGGGGTCGATCACTATTTTGTAAGTTGGAAACACAATTGTTGTTTGGTTTGATGCCTCAATCCACACCAAATATGGTGTGCCTAGAACCGTCTCTGAGCTAAGTCAGCCTACAGTCTGTTGGTCAGGGAAACTAACAGTACAGGGGAGATAACAGCATTGAACTGAGCAAAGTCAGCTAAATGAAGACTGGCAAGTCAATTATTACAATAATCAGCAGTTTTTGTTTATCATAGTGCATCACATCTCCATAATGACACACCCTGGACCCATTTGCCGCCACAGTTGTTTGTTTGTTTGTTTGTTGTTTAACGCCGCACTCAGCAATATTCCAGCCATATGACGGCGGACTGTAAATAATCGAGTCTGGACCAGACAATACAGTGGTTGACATCATGAGCATCGATCCACGAAATTGGGATACGTTGACATGCATCAACCAAGTCAGCGAGCCTGACCATCCAATCCTGTTAGTCGCCTCTTACAACAAGCACAGTCACCTTTTACAGCAAGCATGGGTTGCTGAACACCTATTCTACCCCGGATCTTCACAGGCCACAGTTTTGAGTCCGGTTGGAGGGACAAGAAGCTACAGTTAGCCATCCAATCAAATAACACTGTTCTTTCCTGATTGAAACAAACAACAACATAACAGTACTCGTCTAGTTGAGCACCATCTCGAACACAACTGGGTATGACTTCTCTCATCTTTCTTATTTCTCCTTAAAACAAATTTTCAGCAAGATCTTCTGCAACAGCTGCCCAATTTGATCAAATATACAGGGATGTTTTCCTTTTCAGCTGAAACTTCTTTTCAGTAAAGCATGGTCCATAATTTGGGGGTATTTATAGGGGGTGTTTGTGGTCACTAATATTTGTGGCAATTTGCAGATCTACGGAAGATTCTCACACTTGAATATATCGATGCCCACTATGAAGAGTGACTTTGAAATTCGATCTATTCCTACTTGCATTCAGAACAAGCATTTTGATTGGTTGTTGAATTGAAGGACATGAGCAGGAGAAATTCTGCACTACAATAGTGGTACAAGAGGTGAGGTGTGGTGAAATGGGGTTTAACGTCGCATCCAAGAGTATTGCACTTATATAGCGATGTGTATGTATGTGTGTGTGTTTGTGTGGCTGCTTGTACTAGTCCGGACTGATGTTGATTTATAGTGCTAGCTCACTGAGATACCATGCCGCAGTTTAACATGAATACCCGACTCAGACACAGTATACTGACTCCGAGCCGACCAGTCCTTGTTTCAACCCCTTAATGCCGAGTGCCAGACAGGGTAATAACAAGTACCATCTTTTAACGTCTTTTGGTATGACGCGGCCGGCGATCAAACCCCGGACCTTCCGCTCTCCGAGCGGACGCTCTACCACTAGACCACGCAGGCGGTCAGTGGTACAAACGATGGAGCTGGTGACATCATCTTCCTTAATGAAGCTGAAGCAGAGAATCAGTCCAGGGGCTTGTCACAATAGAATTGAGATAGAATACACTGGATAATCCAGGACAGGCCCTGTGATATATCTGCTGCCAAGAAATACCATGCCCTCGCTAACATTATACTGAACAAAAAAAAGGTAGGGATCATGAATATTTGGGGGGGGATACTTTTTTCAGTGAAGACAATTTCATAAAAATATCACCCAAATATTCATGATCCCTTACTCTTTTTGCTCGGTATATAAAGTTGACATTGCATCATTAATTCCATTGTATACAAAGCTGAATCAGGGGAATCACTGGTTAATAGTGTGAGCTTCCATGTATGACTTGACACAAGGTTGATCAACGTTGCTGTCATATTACATGCAGGGCAGTATCATGTGAATTGACATCTTCCCGAGGCAAGTGAGTTAGATGACTATAAAAGTCCAGTTTCCACCCTTGCCGAACTAGGCTGGTATTATGGAGTTACATTTTGGCTGGACTAACGAGTCCATGCATCCAATCAAAATCGCACACCGAAATCGAAATCCGGTTCGTAAAGTGTCATGCAGATTTCGGTCGACTGCAGAATTTGCAAAGCATGTGCACCGCTAACTCGTTGTCAACAGATATTTTCTAAATCTTTTCATGTTTTAATCAAGGTGCTCACGTGATTTGATGCACTTCGCGTTGTAAGACTCGTTTTATCACAATATAGATCTTGATTATCGATCAGACCGTCTTGACTGGGCGCCACCGTTTTGTTTGAAGCAAATGCAAGTGATACGAGAGGTTGAATCTGATTGGTCAATAGTAGAGGCATAGAAAGGACATAACTCGTAATAGCCACTGGTGGCGCTACGATCGAGCCCAGGAATTCCAGCCTAGTTCGGCAAGGGTGGAAACTGTACTTTTAAAGTCAGTTAACTCTCTTGCCTCGGGAAGATGGTGAATTGACTGTTCTATGATGTATACTGGACATATTGATGACTTTCAGAGGATATATCTCGTACACGTTCATATGTCATCCTGATGCATATGACATTATTACACATCAGGATGATGGTATAACTGTGACATATCTCCCCAAGAGGAGGAAATAAGAGGACGTACTAATAGACCATCCAGGTGGCTATGCCACTCATGCACACATCAACATGTCAGGTCCCTTGATAAGATAAACATGCTGTTTGACAAGACGAGGTATATATCCTCCATATATCACACCAGAGGAGAAAATACAAGAGGATGTAGTAATACGTCATCCAGGTAAGATACAAGATCCTGCCAATCTGTGACTGGCACACTCTTTCCAACTATTTCCAAAAAACTTGTTTGAAGATTTTCTTGAGTTAAACATGGAACACAATCATTGCAGAGTTAGAACTAAATAAATACAGATTCCTGCAGGCTAGTTTGCCAATTTCCTCATTGTTTTACAATTATAAGGGTATTTTACCTTGACTCGGACTAGTAAATCTGTTTAGTTCTAACCTAGGTACAAAATAAGTGTCTGTCTGTTATCCTGGGACCAGTAATGCAAAGCCTGGGTCGTGTTACTTCAAGTCTTTTATCCAGTCTCAGAATTCATCTCATACCCATTATGGTCACTTTCATGACCTTCGTCAATACAATCCCAATTGGTTGATTGCATAAATCCCTGCATCGCCATGGAGATGATATGCCTTCAAGAAACAGTAATCTGGGTAGAAACTAATATTTATCTTCACTGGTCCTCAAAACTGGTCTGCTACAGCGTTCCCATCTACCCCATGGCAAAGGTGAACCATTACGATAACGTCACTCTTGTTGTTGCAGTCGATTCTGAGCCAGCAATACAACGGCCATTCTTAACATGCTCTTAAAACAAGTAAAACTGACGCAACCAAAACTTTTTATGCAAAATTAAAATAAAATGATATATCAACCATAAGATCCTTTGATTCTGGAATTGGTATTCTCACTCCTACTCCATTACAGAAATACCATTAGTCTTCACTGAATTTTTTAACCTCTAGTGAACTTAATTAAAATTTCAACCACTGTAACGGCTATCACTGACCACTCACTATGCTTGCATGATGCAATACAGATATGGATTACACCAATCATAACTGTCCAATTCAGGGTATTATCATGCTAGGTCTTCTCTAAAATGCATAGGGTATGTTGATCAAGGGAGGTAAGTACTATGGTGACCAAGGGGGGTAATTCATACACATGCCTCTTTCTACACATGCTCTATGGCAGGTATATACACTGTATGTTAGTTGGAACAACATGGTAACAAACCCACCTTTTGTATTGGAGGATGAACGTACAGAGGACGCTGTATGAAACGAAGATAGGCCTGAGTGAGTGAGTGAGTGAAAGAGAGAGTGAGTGATTGAATGAGCATGAAAGAACTCCACCACAGTAGTGTTAGCGCTCTTAAAGCAATAAAGATGACTGTGTGATGAAGCAAATCTTATTCCACAGCCCAATCTCATGTACTGTTTTCCTATAGACTTTTTGAACAAATCTTAAAATCGAAATATTTTAGAAGTAAAATGGATACAATTAACTTAAATATCGTCATTGTAAACCGATACTCATAATATTTGATAATGCTTTACCAATTTCATGTTCATAAATATTGTAAAAATAGATAAATTTACCTGGATGTAGAATTAAGAATAGAATACATTTTGAGAAACACGGGGCTTAACTTTCAGGGAATCATAAGAAAATAGACCAGTACAGAAGAAGATAGCATGTACCAAAGCATTTAAAGGGCCAATGTAGTTTGTACTAATCTGGATCTATGACCTACTGGTCAAGGCAATCAGCAGCAGCCCTGCATTTCAACATGATTGTTGCATAATGCCACACTCAGCAATATTTCGGCTGTAACATGTAAATAATCGAATCTGGACCAGACAATCCAGTGCTTGATATTGTGAACAATGATCCACATCATCAGGGTACATTGACACACAATCAACCAAGACACCAAGTCTGACCACCCGATCCACTTTATGGTTGTTGGGACCTGTTTGGACCCGGGCTCCCCTTGTAGGTGTCAGTGTGATCCAGTCAAGGTGTTAGTATACGTGGAGTGAGGGAGGACCTGTTACCTATGACAGACTGAGGCCGAAGTTTCCTGCCATATAAACTTTTCCTCTTGCTTGTTAACTTCGGAGATCCCTGAAAATATATACAACGTTCATAATAACATACAGTCATATTGTTCTGAGATACTCTTTGTATCTGCATAACATCAACTTTGGACTATTCGCTTTTCACGAGAGGTACAGAGAATGCTGAAAATAACTGAAAAAGTCAATTTCTTGTAACTTCTAAAAAAAGTAGTTTGTAGATATATATTCTATTTCAGGATGAGGGTGGGTAGTAATACTGTGCTGACCTCTCGAGGGCCTCTTTCCTGAGTTGGGTTAAATGGTGTAGTCGCATGTTATGGGTGATAGCTTATTATGGGAGGACTTAAAGTACACAGTGACACAGATTGTTTGTGCACATGTGTCTCTTTGGGAAACTTTGCAAGCTTGGGGTATAGTCATTACAGACCAAGGATCATGAGCGGAAAGGCCATGGGATGTGAACCCATGACTAGCAGATTCTGACAGCTAAGGGAAGCAACTCTGTAAAGTTCTGAGTCTTTGCAAACCCTAAAGGATATCATTAGATCACATGACCTAATTCATTCCAAAGTGATTTATAATCAAATTAATTAGCATGCCTTATTTTAAAATATTTAACAAGATTTTGAATTGATAGATATATGTTCTGGCAATGGACAATGCAGATGACCAATTGAGCTAAAATTGTGAAATTGTGTTTCTCTGTATATTTACATGGTATTCATTGAACATTTTTTCATTGAGAATTAATATAAAAGAAAAAAGTGATTTGGATATTTTCTATAGGCAGCTGGTTCGGGTCTGAAACTTCCCATGGTATCTTTGTTTGTTTGTTTGTTTGTTGTTTAACACCATCAACAACAATCCAGCTATATGATGCCAGTCTGTAAGTGTTCGACTCTGAACCAAGCAATCCAGTGACTGACTTCCCAAGCATTATGTACGCCATTGGGATATCATCACATGCATTATCCAAGTCAGCAGCCTGACCCCCCGATCCCATTAGTTGTCTTACCCCGGTACAAGCTAACGACCAATTCAAACTCAAATTCAAGATTGGATTGCATGGTATTGTGTTTTGGGCAAGCACTACATTCCTACATGCTAAATGTTCCTGCCTGAAGTACAAATTCGCCATAGAAAATGTGTTTTCAGAGTGTTTCGATACACAAGGCATAACAATGCATTGTTTGAGGACGGGCCACGACATTGGAATCAAATCATGTTCTTGCGAATCTCTAACCTTTGTAATGAAATGATAGATAACACTGTCACACACCCCCTGTCCCACTGCCTGGGGTAGATAAACCTGAAGCTGTGACTCTTGTCTTGTCACCTGTTATCTATTGCCATGTTCACAGCTGCAGCAGTTCGTGTATGTCGCATCACTTAAACATTTGTTGTAAAAAGCCACACTGAGCAATGTTCCAGCTAAAAGATGGCGGTCAGAAAATAATCAATTCTGGACGAGACAATCCAGTGATTAACCTCATGGGCACTGACATACGCAACTGGGATAAGATGACATGCATCAACCAAGTCAGCAAGCCTGACCATGCAATCCCCTTATTCGCCTTACGACAAGCATGGAGAGCCGGGTCACGATGACACATGCTCAGCCCGGTCACGCAAGGCAACCATCAGACCCCATTCATCAACTAGTTCAACAAGCATGAGGCAGTGGGGTCTGTACTGCCAACAAAACCCCACAGCACCATCCTGGACTACACTTAACCGAATCAGCATGAAACGAACACTTTCACGCTGGCATTCCCTAAAAAACAAACATGAACAAAAACTCATAAAATATGTTCAAACTGATGTGAAATATCCTACATCACAGTCTGAAACACTTAATGTTGAAATAAATCACAAACCTGACTGTGACAATAATACAATGGGAGACACTGGTGGCCCAACTCAAGCAAAAACGACCAACACTGCCACAGAGGACATCAAACAAATATAATGCACAGTACAACACAATTACTGCTATCGTGGCTAATCATCTAACTAAGCTTATACTTTATACCGGCTTGTATGCACCACCTGATAACGCAGACCCAGAGGGCGATACATACCTGATAAGGCCTAACGCACAATCAGGATATAGCTCAATACAAGGATATATCTATCAATATACCAGCAAGGTTATATATATCTACAGCTAATGTACATGTCCAGTATAGCGATGCATGAGTAAGAAAGAATATGGTATAAGGCACTATACTCACATGTATCTGAATGGAATATGAGCAATGGAAGAAACAGAACACGTAGTACGAACGACACGACACGTGGGACAAGAATATTCACGAGGAAGTCACCTCCCTGTTTCCGAGCCGAGCTCCCTATGAGCATTGTAAAGTTGAAAACAGTTTATTTTAGTTTTTAACTGATAAAGATAGGCTTCCACTTCCTGCTTTAGATAAACTGCAATGTCGCTGATTGTGTGTTCAACCTACCATATGATATGGCCGAACAGTGTTTATTCAACGTGTCTCTCCATTCATAGGGAAACAAAATGTGGTAAAAAATGATTGTGAAGGGGCTTGTCAGTATTTGTCTATTTTCTTATTAGATTTTACAATATCTACATGAAGGCACACATCGCTAGGCCATAGAAATATTGTCATGTCAGAAATTTTATTTTTAAATGTGAAGAAAGCCAGTTGTTTTCACATCTCTTAGGGCATATTCGTGAGCCCTTCATGCTTCTTAAACACGTCTAGTTGGTTCAGAAATTTGATACTGGCTGTCATAAATATAGGTGTGGTCCAGCGAGTGTATGCCTTTGTCAGTCTGACATGAATAGTTCAGAGCATCCATCGCCTGTGAGGAACACACAATAGATGCGAGTCTGACGTAACAATTCAGTGGATCACCTGTGGGGAACACACAATGGTCACCTGTTTATTGTTAATTAAGTATTTTGGTAAGAAGGTGAAATAAAAATAACGACCAACAATAGCTTGCTTGGTACCTACTCTAACCTGGAACCGCCCCATGGGAATTAGTGAGTGAGTATATAGGATATTATGCCACTTTTATCAATATTCCATCACAGCTGGATGGGACACTAAAGAAAATGGCTCTCCACACTGTACCAAGGGAAATGAATCCAGATTTTGGTATGATGAGCTAACGGTAATAACTACAGTGTTTCGAAGTACCAATGAAAGTCAACGGGACTCTGTCATCATAGTGATAAAACCTTAACATTTAGGTGGTCCCCAGATTCAAATACTAGTCTGCGACTTTAGCCACTAGTCGGAAGCCCGGGTCTAGTAAACTTCTGATTAGGCTAGTAAGCCTAGCTAATAGTACCCATATGACTTAAAATGTTCAAAGAATGATGCTTAGAGCCATGTTCGGGCTAGTAGACTCATGAGGTCCTGACTGATGTTATAGGATCAAGTCTCAAGACCTCCCTTAATTTGAACACAGATCCTAGGCTACTCCAAGCGAAATAAGGCCAAACTTCTTTTCAACTTGCTTTACAGATAAATATTGTTGAAATAAAATTCTGAATTTGCTCTTTTTATATTTTACGGAAAAGCAGATTGAAAGCATATTGCACCCAAAACATATGTTCCCACTATTAATAACTCACTAACTATTAATAACTTTGCATCGATGTTTCAAACAAACATGTCATTTCATGTAGAAATGTAAGAAGGTCTCTTGTTGATACCAGCCTATTTGTAGTAGGTGAGAAAACTAACAATCTGAACTGTTCTTTTCTGTCTTTTTTCATCTACCAACAGGTTTTGCTGTAAAAAATCAAAACTAGTGAAAACAAAGTGTGGTGTAAAGAGGGCGTTGTCCTGTGAATATTCTCGTCCCTGCATACATGGCTACTTACGTGGAGGTAGTTTGTTCCTGCGTACAAACAGGGCTGAAACAACATGCCGGGACAAACATCAGCAACATGAGGTGGTGAGACAGACAAGCCACAGTGAAGGATTAAACCATTGTCAGAATTAAAAAAGCATTTAATACCGCAGTGAATATACTCAAGAATGATCTCTGATTCATTTTAACAGGTACTGAGAGCTACCTACCCCTGGAAGATCAAGGGAACAGTGATGAGATATCCAGGGCAGATCCAGCATTCTTAAAAGGGAGGGGTCCAAAATATAAAAATGCTCTCTCAATCAGTTTTACTGCCTACAACATACTACATTTGGTTTTCAAAGGTGGCTGGACCGACCATCTGTAACCGCTTATGGATATAATGATAAACTGTACATCAGGCATAAGACATTTCAGAATGATTTCCACAGGAGCACAATCAAATTGATTACGAAGCTTTCTCATTTTTCTGTCATTCTGATTGGCTGCTTTTTTCATATCTACAGCTATGATTATTCCAAATTTGAAAAGTGTTCCTCATTATTGCAACACTGTATCAAGAGCACAAGCCAAGTCAAACGCAGAAACAATATAAATATTATTTATTTTTAAGTGGTTAACAATCATAAGCCTAGAGTAATGCCCCCTGTCTGAATCTTGATCATGCATTAATATGTACATAATTTTCATCCTAAAACAAATGAGAGATCATCCTTGCATGAATAATGTAAGAAATATGTTTATATAAAGTTAGATTAATTAAACACATTTGATGACTGTGGTATGCATAAATATCTTTGAAAATCATTTAGGCTATATAACATTTACATCTCAAAGAGAAAGACACATTCATAGTTTTCATGCTTAAGACTAGAAGCTATCTAAATCCATGCTGTCCATGCTGTTTATACACTTTCCTTAAAGCTAGAATACTATGTCTCACATGCAAAAAACTAATGTTTCTATCTGAAATTTACAACCAAAGCCAAGAATCTTTCAATCAATCAAATCCAAAAACTAACGCTAAGCATGCTGAAACACCTCAAGATATCTTAAGATGGGGATAATTTTATTAATTAAATATAATAATTAAATTGAAGATGATGTTAAAGGAATAATAATAAAAGCTTGTACCAATTAAAATTTGTTTAATTTGCTGCATGGAAATATTGAAAAGAAAATACATGTACTGATCATGAATGCGATTATCACTGATGATCAAATAATAGTTTCGTTAATTACACCTAAATTACTGGAAGTGTGAAATCATGGTAAAAGTAGTTAATCGAGACCATAAGCTTAAGACTAGTCCAGCCAGGTGCTAATACCGTATTCGACGTAATAAGCGCCCAGGGCGCTCTCAAAATTAGAAATAGGGGGCTCTTATGAGAATATTATTTTGGTGAAAGTTGAAAGATAAAATTTTGTGCTTTATGCTGTCAGCCTGAAATGTTTATATACGACAGATATATTTTTCCAGGATTTAATTGCCCATAATTAAGGGTGCATATAACACACGAGTGCATATCATACGCGAATAAATAAGTCTTGTGTACATTGATCAATCGGAAGGGGTGCAAATTGGGATTGTTCACTAGCCAATATATTAGAAAATATTACCGTGGGCGCTTATTAGAGCGGGGCGCTTAATACGTCGAATACAGTACCCACAACCCAAACCAAAGGTGGACGTGCACAGACACAACAGGACAAAGCTGCAAGGCAACCTTCCACCAAGGATTATCTCCCTTTCAAACTCTTCTAAACGTGTTCTTCACAAAGGTGCTCAAAGCATTGAACTGATGTTTGTGGAACTGCTTGCAAAGAGTAGAAACTTTCATGTGAGTAAGCGACTTGTGTTAAAGAATGCCTTAACAGTATTTCAGTTATTTAACGTCATGTCAGCAGTATTTCTGTTATATGTCATGTCAGCAGTATTTCTGTTATATAACGTCATGTCAGCAGTATTTCTGTTATATATAACGTCCTGTCAGCAGTATTTCTGTTATATATAATGTCATGTCAGCAGTATTTCTGTTATATGTCATGTCAGCAGTATTTCTGTAATATAACGTCATGTCAGCAGTATTTCTGTTATATGTCATGTCAGCAGTATTTCTGTTATATAACGTCATGTCAGCAGTATTTCTGTTATATGTCATGTCAGCAGTATTTCTGTTATATAACGTCATGTCAGCAGTATTTCTGTTACATAAAACGTCCTGTCAGCAGTATTTGTTATATATAATGTCATGTCAGCAGTATTTCTGTTACATATAACGTCATGTCAGCAGTATTTCAGTTACATATAACATCATGTCAGCAGTATTTCTGTTACATATAATGTCATGTCAGCAGTATTTCTGTTATAAATAACGTCATGTCAGCAGTATTTATGTTATATATAATGTCATGTCAGCAGTATTTCTGTTATACGACATGTCAGCAGTATTTCTGTTATATATAATGTCATGTCAGCAGTATTTCTGTTACATATAACATCATGTCAGCAGTATTTCTGTTATATATAATGAATGCCATGTCAGCAGTATTTCTGTTATATATAATGTCATGTCAGCAGTATTTCTGTTACATATAACATCATGTCAGCAGTATTTCTGTTATATATAATGAATGCCATGTCAGCAGTATTTCTGTTATATATAACATCATGTCAGCAGTATTTCTGTTACATATAACATCATGTCAGCAGTATTTGTTATATATAACATCATGTCAGCAGTATTTCTGTTATATATAACGTCAAGTCAGCAGTATTTCTGTTATATATAATGTCATGTCAGCAGTATTTCTGTTACATATAACATCATGTCAGCAGTATTTCTGTTATATATAATGCCATGTCAGCAGTATTTCTGTTATACGTCATGTCAGCAGTATTTCTGTTATATATAACGTCATGTCAGCAGTATTTCTGTTATATGTCATGTCAGCAGTATTTCTGTAATATAACGTCATGTCAGCAGTATTTCTGTTATATGTCATGTCAGCAGTATTTCTGTTATATAACGTCATGTCAGCAGTATTTCTGTTATATAACGTCATGTCAGCAGTATTTCTGTTACATAAAACGTCCTGTCAGCAGTATTTGTTATATATAATGTCATGTCAGCAGTATTTCTGTTACATATAACGTCATGTCAGCAGTATTTCAGTTACATATAACATCATGTCAGCAGTATTTCTGTTATATATAATGTCATGTCAGCAGTATTTCTGTTATAAATAACGTCATGTCAGCAGTATTTATGTTATATATAATGTCATGTCAGCAGTATTTCTGTTATACGACATGTATGCAGTATTTCTGTTATATATAACGTCATGTCAGCAGTATTTCTGTTATATATAATGTCATGTCAGCAGTATTTCTGTTACATATAACATCATGTCAGCAGTATTTCTGTTATATATAATGAATGCCATGTCAGCAGTATTTCTGTTATATATAACATCATGTCAGCAGTATTTCTGTTACATATAACATCATGTCAGCAGTATTTGTTATATATAACATCATGTCAGCAGTATTTCTGTTATATATAACGTCAAGTCAGCAGTATTTCTGTTATATATGTCATGTCAGCAGTATTTCTGTTACATATAACATCATGTCAGCAGTATTTCTGTTATATATAATGCCATGTCAGCAGTATTTCTGTTATATATGTCATGTCAGCAGTATTTCTGTTACATATAACATCATGTCAGCAGTATTTGTTATATATAACATCATGTCAGCAGTATTTCTGTTATATATAACGTCAAGTCAGCAGTATTTATGTTATATATAATGTCAAGTCAGTAGTATTTCTGATATATATAATGTCATGTCAGCAGTATTCATGTTATATATAACATCATGTCAGCAGTATTTCTGTTACATAATGTAGTGTCAACAACACAAAACATTTCACTAATACACAATTCTTTCTATATAAGACTTTTAACATATTAATCAACCTTCTCATCGGGCAAAGAAGTCATGTACATGAACTATGACATTTCTAGGATCACAGGTCTCTGGGAAACAGAAGTCAAGAGCATGAACAATAACTTGCTCTAGGACACAGAGCTTTAATACGAAGAAGTCAATTACATGAACAATGACTAGCTCTTGAACCAAAGAGCTCTAGGACAAAGAAGTCAAGTGCATGAACAATGACTAGCTCTAGGACCACAGAGCTCTAGGACATAGAAGTCTAGTGCATGAACAATGACTAGCTCTAGGACCACAAAGCTCTAGGACATAGAAGTCAAGTACATGAAAAAGACTAGCTCTAGGACCACAGAGCTCTAGGACATAGAAGTCTAGTACATGAACAATGACTAGCTCTAGGACCACAGAGCTCTAGGACATAGAAGTCTAGTACATGAACAATAACTAGCTCTAGGACCACAGAGCTCTAGGACATAGAAGTCAAGTACATGAACAATAACTAGCTCTAGGACCACAGAGCTCTAGGACATAGAAGTCAAGTACATGAACAATAACTAGCTCTAGGACCACAGAGCTCTAGGACATAGAAGTCAAGTACATGAACAATAACTAGCTCTAGGACCACAGAGCTCTAGGACATAGAAGTCAAGTACATGAACAATGACTAGCTCTAGGACCACAGAGCTCTAGGATGAAGAAGTCAAGTACATGAACAATGACTAGCTCTAGGACATAGAAGTCTAGTGCATGAAGAATACAGGGTTACAGATCAGTTCATAGGACAATGACTGATTGTCTTCCAAATTGTCCTAAAAGATACGTCTCAAATAAAGATATAGGAGATTGTCCTGTCAAGTGCTAAAGATCATGAAAATGTCCTAATGTCATTTGTCCCCAGCAAAATCAGTGCTAATGTCCAAGGCATATTCAGGACTAGAGTATACCCTGGCAATATTCATGCTGGTAGGACATGAACCTTGAACAGGAATCTTGTCACAAAACTATATGAAGGAATGCTGGGACACAAATCATATTATATGTTATAGACTTCAAGAGTCCCCAAAAAATCAGATCTCACATGCAGTTCCTGAAAAGAGCACTAAAACACAAGAGTTCTAATTGTCAGTACAAACAAAAAACATTCACTATTCATTCTCAATTCAAACCATTCCAAAACCAAACCAATCTAAAACTACCCAATGCCACATTCCAGCAGTCCCACTTTTGTACTCACCCCGACGGTCGAAGTTCTTTTCTCGTCTTTATCGTTTTCAGTATCAGTCTTGTTAGCCGATTTGGAGGGTGATTCCTTGTAACTTCCACTGAGTTTCAGATTCAGGTGGTTTGTCTGCAAGGATCGACCAAAGAATATTATTGATTACTCAAACAAAGCAATTTCCTCTTAACTTTTAGATTACATTTAAATTCACCAAAACTGAAAATCATACAGAATATTTCACTTGAGCAAAAACATGTTACACTTTAGAGATTATGTTTCTAAATACTGTCTATACTAATTAGCATGTGGCTCATGGAGTTGTTTTCAGGGTGATATACATTTTTTAAATATTTTTATTGTTTAACGCTGAGTCAGCAATATTCCAGCTGTATGATAAAAGTCTGTAAACAATCAAGTCTCGACCAGACAAAACAGTCATCCAGCAACAATCCAGACATTGCCAGCATCAAGCCATGTCTTTGACAATGTGTGAACAATGACACACAATTAAGATAAATATTATGAGCAACAAGCCATGCTGTCGAAGACCACATCACCGAGCCTGATCATTTGGTCCATTTGGTCTCCTCCTACGGCAAACCTAGGATGCTAGTGACGTATTCTGATCCAGAGCCCCAATAGTGTACTCAATGTACACTTATATATATACTCAGGTTTGTGTGTTTGTATCTTCATGAACCCACCTGTGACACTGCACCAATGTTTTGGGAACACACGTATGCGTATTATATGCAAATTAATAAGTCTTGTGTACAATGATCAATCAGAAGGGGTGCAAATTGGGATTGTTCACTAGCCAATATATTAGCAAATATCACCGTGGGCGCTTATTACGTCAAATGCGGTAGTTAAAAACAAACATACAATAAATTACTTACCAATGTCTTGTGGCTTTTTGACAGATTTTCTATAACCTCTTCAATCACCTGGTCAGAAATGTGTGCCGCGACTGCGAGATTCAGCTCACTGAAAAAACAATTATCCACACCATCACAAAAAGTACAATTAACAAACAACAATAAAAAATACTAATATTAATAATCCTTAACCTATCATCTCAATATCGTATTACGACAAAACTAAACACAACTCTTATCAATTTCTATGAAATGCCCTTTTAACAAATATATTTTTCCAGAATCAAGAGAATCAATATACATGTGATTCCTTTTTGTCCCATCTCCTTGAAGGCTATAGGTAAAATCAAGATTACAAATAGCAGGATTACAAATATTTCCCTAACAATTTACATTCATGAATTAAAAAAAATAAATTTTGTTTTTTAAATTTTAATTATTCTAAAGACTTTTTTTGTCTTTATTAATACACAAAGCTGATTATGGAAAACGTAACTCATACACAAGAAACGTGAACAAATATATAATAACTAATTGATCTCTTGAAGCAAACTGGCAACTTATAACTTTGCATGGGCGATAATGACATGATTTTTCTAATTGTACCAGTAATGATGAAATCTAATTATTAAAACTTATGTCTGGCTTGTAACAAAATTAAATCATTCAACATTGTAAAGTATGATTTCAAGCCTGCAAACTTCGAAAGAAATTATCTAGATCTGTTTTGCTTGGAATGAATGAAACCTCTTTTAAGCTTCTTTTCCTTTTTTGGAGACAAAACAAATGAGTTCAATAGAGCCAATTCCTTGACACAAACTCTTTGAAAAATAAAACTAGATTCGAGTTATTAACCTGGACACGTTTGAATATGAGACAGATGAAGGCCATTCCCATGCTGCACAGCTAGAGTCATGGAGATGAAGGAGAGAGAGCCAGGGGAGGTAACTTAGTTGTTTTGGAGAGAGAGCCAAGGGAAGTAACTCAGTAACTCAATACATGCTCCACTGTAGCTTGTCACCACTGCTACACACAGTCCACATAGTATGAATATTGAACATATGTATTTGTGTTGTAAACCTGATGACCACACTTGTTTTGTGGCTGACCAATTTGCTTGGGTCAGCTTAAAATGAAACTGTGCAGCTCAATACTATTACATACCGTATTTGATGTAATAAGCGCCCAGGGCGCTATCAAAATTAGAAATAGGGGTCACTTATTAGAATAAAATTTGGTGAAAAAAAACAGAGTTGAAAGATCGTAAATTTCATGGTTTATGCTGACAGCCTGTAATGATACAAAAGAAACGACAGATATATTTTCCAGAATTGGTTGGTTGGTTGGTTTGTTGTTTAACGCCGCACTCAGCAACATTCCAGCTATATGACAGCGGTCTGTAAATAATCGAGTCTGGACCAGACAATCCAGTGATTAATATCATGAGCATCGATCCACACAATTGCGATCGATGACATGCATCAACCAAGTCAGCGAGTCTGACCACCCGATCCTGTTAGTCGCCTTTTACGACAAGCATCGTCACCTTTTATGGCAAGCATGAGTTGCTGAAGACCTATTCTACACCGGAATCTTCACGGGTCTTTTCGAGAATTGAATTGCCCATAATTAAGGATGCATATATAAACACACGTATTATATACACGTCTTGTGTACATTGATCAATCAGAAAGGGTGCTAATTGGGATTGTTCACTAGCCAATATATTAGCAAATATCGCCGTGGGCGCTTATTACGTCAAATACAGTATATTTGGAATGACATATAATTTACTTAAATGTTTGCAGTGGCCAAAACCTATATACACAATGCATTTGAGCAGTCAGGTTAAAAAACGATTTAAACTGTTTTTATTTATTTTTCTGAAGGTGGATTTTAGCTCTGGTAAAGAACAAGACCAGAAGGCATGATCAAAGCGCATGACATCATTATCCCAGTCAACAGTTCACAGCCTTCTCAACTCCATGAATATGCCTTGTTATAATACAGCACCTAGCCTTAGAAACGTTCAGAAACCTAACTCGAGGAACAGTGTCACCCATCCTGCTACTCTTCATCTCAAGTTTTGCTTTTTCTTATCAAAGCACAAAACCACCATTCACTAATCACTACTAAACTGGGCCCATACTGTCCAATCTGAGTATACCTATTGAACCAAATCAATCAATATTTCGACCAATGAGAATCAGAGAATACCAATCCTATCAAAATGGAGCTCAGTGATTCCAGAACAGCAGAACGGTAATGAATCTATGAACTAGGGCTGGGACGGGTAACTCGGGTACTCGGGTCGGGTGGGTACTGAGTAGGACCCGGGTACCCACAGGACGCTAAGTACAAGTCGCTAATGTTCGCATTTCTTTCTGACTGTGCATACATTGCTTCTGATTTTCATTTTTTAGTAAAGACAAAGCTTCAGTCAACTTCACTATATGCACGATCAGATCGTTTTATACTATAAATACTTTTTGCCAGTAAAAACCAATTTGAACATTATGTACCTAACTTGAGACCAAGATTCGGGTAGGGTCGGGTAATAGGGGGTCGGGTACCCGGGTAGTAAATTTAGACTTGTCCCAGCCTTACTATGAATCTTCAGATGAGTCATGGCTTGTATACACTTACTTCTCCATCACCAGTGAGTACATATGGCCAATATGGGTGAAGCGCTGTTGTTAGCTATTAAATCAAGTCTCAATCTTGAGATCCAGCAAGAGTTCCGGGCCGCATTCCACGAAGCGATCATAGCGCTAAGGTGAGGTGACTCACATATTTTAACATAGACTTACAACTGTCATATCGCTACGATCGCTTTGCGGAACGGGGGCCCAGATTACCTTGAATATTCAGCCATGTTTCTTACATGACATCTTGTGCAACATGGCCATATAGGGCGTTCAAATGTTGCAACAACTCTCAATCTCTTGCCAGTGAGAGTGACGACATGCGTCTGCAAGTGCTTAGAACTTTGATCACTGAGAATACTTGGTATAGTCAGCAATGTTTCTCGCTTCACAGCAGGAGCAACTTGGGCCATATAGGAACTCTAAAAGTCGTAGTACTGCATATAACACTTTGAATGAAGCCATTCAAGAAGAGGGACGCCTGTGCTTTGAACATTGATCACTAAGAATACTTGGTATATTCAGTAATGTCTCTCACTTCATATGAGCAGCTTGGGCCATAGCAATACACAGGGCCCCTAAACGTTGTCGACTACTTGTAACTAATGCATAAAGCCTTTCCAGAAATGGGATGCCAGCAAGGGCTTTGAACATTAATTACTCCGATTACTTACGTAACGTGTGCAACATGGGTCATGACCACTGGCTCCCACAATGCAGCAATGTCACGCAACAGTAAAGTTGTTCAGTCTCAATTCATTAGCTGACGAAAAACAGACATGCGTCTCCACGACACCACACAGAGGCCATGTGTATTCACACTGGTGGAGGAACATCATGTACCGGTATACAAGCCAGTGAAGTGTTGTCAGTGGTCATGGGTAAATGTACAAGATGTCGCAGTGAAAAAAGGTCATTTAGTAAAGGGACTTAACCAAGTTATTGTTACAAAGGGGATAAAAGCAATAAATCTGGCACACAGATAGAGGCACCCATACTGAATAGTTTTGGGATAGGAGCCACCTTGAAATATAGTTGTAACTTCCGGTAGCCACGAAAATCTAATATGGCCCCCAAATCATTTCCCTGGCAATGTAAAAAATAATAAAACTTTTAATCTTATGCACAACTACGACATGTTACATATCAAATTAAAGGTCTTTTCATACTCTGACTGATAATGTGATTATTGTTTACATTCAATGAACAAGCTGCTGCAGTGAAAGAGGTCATAGTGTTTTCAATGATCGATACCACAGTATGGAGGTGAAGATGATATCAACTGTCACATGAACAAAGAAAGCTGTCAGGAAATGTAAATAAAACAGCAGCTGTTGGTTTCTCATAACACAATCTCACCTTTGGATATTGCTGGAATAAAACCACTCAAAAATATAAGTGAGATAGATCAAATGCAAGGAGGTGACGTGAAATGGGGTTTAACAGTGCATTCAAGATAAATGCACTTATATAGCGACATACATATACATCTGCGTGTGTGTGTGCTTTTGCATATGCATGTGCATGTGCATGGCTGCTTGTACTAGTCCAGACTAATGGCAGTTTTATAGTGATTGGCCGCTGAGATACCATGCTGCAGTTTAAATAATAGATACCCAAATCAGACACAGTATCCCTGACTCCGAGTCGAACAGTCCTTGTTTTAGCCCCTCAATGCGAAAGCGCCAGGCAGGGTAATAACAAGTACCATCATTAAACATCTTTTGCTATGACGCGGCCGGGGATCAAACAGTTGCTATTTTCAAGGAGGCTAAGATTTAGGATTTTCAGTCAGTAGTCACTAATACTTTTAGCGAGATAAATCAACACAAATGGGTTTAGAAATACATGAATTGTGAACACATAAATGTTAATTCATTACTCTGCTTTTAAAGTACTCATGTTTCACAAAACAGTAAATGGTGCATCATAGCAAAATGTTGGGTTTTTTTCTTTCTGATCTCTGTTTTGAATTAGTGTTCTTACCAAACATCGGAATGACCTCCATCTCAAAGGTCAGTGAAGTGTGAATACCAAGTACCAAGAACAAGTCTTTTTTCAATTTTAACAATAAGAAGTGAAATCATATTTCATGTGAAGCTGTATTTCATCTTCGTCTTCCATAAAAAAACGTATTATTGATCTTCCACTTAGGATGAGCCATTTTACCCACGTCAGTCACCTGCAATGTTTGAAATACTTTTCTGAAGATAGTTTTCAGAAATGGTCATACAAACCAGTAAACACTTTCAATGAGTCTATCATTTGGACTACCATGACTTGGACTAGGGGTGTTAATTTGCAAGTACTTGTAAACACTGAAGCAGCCCTCCCTCTACAACCATTTCATCAAGCCATTTCACCAATAACCTCCCATGTGCACATCCAGTTTGAAAAACTTACTTCCAGACAGTGATCAAGACAACTTGACAGGATTCAACAACTATGTCTAAAGGTCTTTTAAGGAAGGGTAGCAACAGTAACTGGCAAAGAATCATACTTGATGACCTTGACCTTTGATAGCAATGCCAATGACATTTAATGTTGCAGGATTTCGATACATAAGATACTTTTGCATATATTTCATGTCTGTGGAGGCAAACTTTGTTTTAAAAAACAATAAAGTTGACCTTGACTTTCAATTATCTTGAAAAAAATCATTCCAAAGCATGGCCGCTTTTAAGAGAAGATATATACAATGGTTTATGGTAAAAGCTGTGATTGATTTGCGGAAAATGTAACTACATACCAGTAGGCAAGACCTTGTGACATTGACCTTTGACCTTCTAGACTTGGAAGAACTTCATGGAATGATATCCACTAATATCAATAACCTTAGCATAGAAATATCACAGACGGCAGTAAAGAGTCAAATAAAACCTTAAAGTCAGCAGCTTTCACTGGGTTGTACGTCATCACAGTCTTGCACTCTCAACTGTGCAGCACTGATGGACCATGAAAGTTTCCATGCCTGTAGCACTATCTAAAGTCTGACATTTTCAAAATAGGGACACACACACAGAAACATCCAGGACATGGTTCAGGTATCTGGTAACAGCAGGTTTTCTGGGAGTTAGTTCAGGATGGCTGTACGCTGCTTGGAACAATATTTCACAAATATCCCAACTAGGAACACCAAGCATGGGCCTCACACTCTCTGTTGATGTGAGCAATTGAAACAAGCTTTGCTGCCGATGTGACAAGTTAGTGCTTTAAACCCAAAACTACCCCACCCTCAGGAATACATGAAAGTGTGCAGATGCTATTAGATATGAGAGCAGAAGACAGTGTGACAGTATAGTGTTGGCAGTCAGGGTACATTGTATCAGTCTCAATAAAATCAAATCCTTTACTCTGTTTCCACCGTTCTCATCAGATGAACCAGAAGCAGACGTGAAAGTTCCAATGAAAGTTACACCAGCCAATGAGGCAATCAAATGTAAGCTTTCATAAATGATTTGGCTGCATTTATTTACCGCCTCTGACCTGTAGTGTTTGTGTACACTATAGACACTAAGGGGTTTTCCATAGCTCGTGCTAGTTTTCAAGGTCAATCCGTACGTCGGATCTGACATCATGTACGAAACTGCTTTGACCATAACAACGTCGTTAGTCTTTCCTGCAGTTGTTGGGACTGGTTCCCTGGCAAAGAAAATGACACTCCTTGTTTTAGAAATTTTGATCGGAACCAAAAAAGTACGAAACAGAAATGTTTTCTGATAGTAAATCCTTGCCAGTCTGGATGCCATGGTGCCTAAGTATGCCAACTGCTAACATGTGGAAAATCCACAACATCACAGCCTGGTAGTGTTTCATTCCAAACTGGCTGATTATGTCCATTTTCAAGGAAGGGGATATTCTATTCTGAGAGTTCACCTGACGCCACCGTTGACGGAGAGTTTGTCAGATCTTAACAGAGAGGTTGTGAATCAGGAGTGAAAGATCCGAGTTTACTGAGACTGACAATGTATCCACCTCTACAGGGACAGGGTTGCTGTGCTGGGGAAGGACGGACAGAGGTAACTATAATCACCTGAGTTTGTTGAAGATGTCAGTGCCAACACCATCTAACACCGACTTGGTGAAGTCCCGAGGCAGATTACTTTTTTCTTCACAGGTCTCCTTCAAAGATGACTGGAAAGTCTGCAAAATAAATATTAATGATGAGATCTATGTACAAATATGTAAACCAATGAGATCTATCACATCAACAACAGAAATCATTACAAGGTCATTATAGAGGTATACAAAACCAAAAAGGGCGTCAATGATGAGGCGAGGTGAAATGGGGTTTAATGTTGCGTAAAGGTTATTGCACAAATATAGCAACATACATGCCAATGTGTGTGGCTGTTTGTACTAGTCCGGACTGATGCCAATTTTATAGTGCTAGCCCAATGAGATACCATGCCACAATTTAACATGAATACCCGACTCAGACACAGTATACTGACTCTGAGCCAACCAGTCCTTGTCTTAGCAACTTAAAGCCGAGCGCCAGGCAGGGTAATAACAAGTACCATCTTTTAATGTCTTTTGGTATGATGCGTCCGGGGATCGAACCCCAGACCTCCCGCTCTCTGAATCAATGATGAGCTCCATCAAGTCAACTAAAATAAATAACCAAATCAGTGCCATTTGCTTAAATCAGTTCGTTTTTTTCAAGTTTCTGTTTAGTTTTTCCACCCATCTTCCTTCTTACCTCATCCTCCATCACAGCCGAGCAATGTGTGGTCGTACATTTCAGCATTGAGGCCATTGTTTTCTGGAGAAAGAAAAACAGACATTTCATGGAGGTGAGAAAGGTAATAAAAGTAATATTCATTTTGACGGCTTTTGTTCACAGTGAGTGGGCAATGTTTTACCCTTCTTTTAACAATATTTATGCAATATCATGGGGACACAAGAAACTGGATCATACAGTACTCAGGAGGGGAATCAAACCCAGTCCTTCAGTAGGGTGAGTGATCACTTTAACTACTAGCCTACCCCATGTCACCTTATATATAGGAGAATCCATAATGACTGAACACAATGTTGTGAATTATGCATGTGCAACATTGTAACATTTACACTGATTATATGGGCAAATATCTTCTGGGCAATGACATTTTACCAATTATAACTTAACTTCATAAATGACTGAATCAATATAACTGATGTACTGAACATGTACTTTCAAGAATGTCAACAAAAAGCAACACATTGAGGAATGATTGTCCTTTACATGGGTATGGTGGCCGGCCAAGGAAGGGAGACAACTCTACCTTCATCTGGTTCTCCATCTCACGTCGCAGGTTGTTGGCGATCTCCTGCAGCTTCACCTCCACCGGGTTGTCTGCATCCTGGGACTTGATGGCGATGTTCTGAAGCCTCGGCAGCAGCTGAATAGAAGAGAAACAAGATAATTAATTTGATTAGAGTTGCTTTTGTAGCAAATATTGCTTAACATACATGTTGTTTAACGCCACACTCAGCAATATTCCAGATATAAGTTGGTTGCCTATAAATAATTGAGTCTGGACCAGACAAATAAGTGATTGATACTATGAACAACTATCCACGCCATTGGGGTACATAAACATGCAACTAACCGCGACACCAGGCCTGACCACCCTCTCAATTATGTCGCCTCTTACAACCAACATGGGTTGCAGGGGACTTGTCATGGGCAACATTAACAAGTCATCAGGTGATGACATATCCCCAGGTCTGGTGCAATTCGGAAATGGAAATTGGCTACTCATACCCCACTTTTGGTTCATTGCCACTGAACACCTTCAGTTCAGTGAAGAAACAAATAATGCTGTTCAGTATTTTTCAAAATCACAAATCATCAAAAGGCACCAGTTCACCACTAGACTGATCTGTATAGCAAGTTTCATCTAGAAATATTTAATGGTTCTTGCAGTCATGCCCTGGAAACAGAAAACAACTTGTTTTTTTCATGAAACTCATGAAAACAAAATAAAATAAAAGAATGAAAATCCCAAATCATGAAAAATCTCAGTTCCCCACTCGACTGATCTATATAGAAAGCTTCAACAAGAAATATTTAACAGTTTTGGAGTTCTGCTCAGGAAACGGAAAACAGACGGCTGATGGATGGACGGACGGACGGACAGACATGGTGATCGCTCTGTCCACCCGTTTTTCAAACCAAGGGGATAATAATGCGTCATTCATATGGTCTTACCCAAAAGGAATTAAGGCTAAAATACATATACAGCACTTGATGGACTTTTTTGATTCAGGTGGTCAGATTCAGTGACTTGGTCAAGGACTGGACTATACACAGGCAGACATAATACACCTGGAATATTGCACCCAAAAATAACACACACACAAACTGATTCAGTTTTCTTCTCAGGCCATCATGTTTGATTACAAACTAGATTTGAGGTTCCACGTTTAAAACCTCCGAAATGAAATCACGGTAGATTTATCTCCAAATCGTACATTGACAGTGGGAGGTTCTTGGTTTGTTCAAACATTAATGACAGGACTCTGCAACATGGCTGTAATATCACTGACTGCAGATTAAAATATGTCAATCATGGTGCCGTTGTACAAAGCAATTTTAGCACTAAGGTGATCATAACTCCCAGAACTTAACACAGACTTATGACAGTCGTAGCACTAAGGTTCTTTTGTACAACGTCACCAATGTCAATATAAAAAACTTCATCATCAAAAAACAGGGTCATGAAAGTATTATATGGTATCTCTTTAAAGTACATCCTTCTGCCATATCATTGCAAAAGCCCAATTGTACAAAATAACTAAATAACATTGCTTATGTGTCTAAAACTGTCATTGTATCTTCATGGACAGACATTTTCCAACAAGAGGAATACATAAAATTTTTTTTTTAAATGTTGGTGGATCAGCCAAGTATGGACAAGCTAAACATTTTTTGTGTTGTGGTAGAGTACCCTAGCCGTACTGCACCTGTTTGGAGTTATCAGCATCCTTGACCACACGCCCTGCATGTTCGATGTCCTCCTTGAAGTGTTCACTGGGGCTGTAGCTGAGGGCATTCACCGTATCCTGCACCTGCACTACCAGGCGGTCCACCATCTGGGGAGACAGCACATCACTCTTTTTAGTAGTTTATTCAAAAAATCTTTTTCTCTAAATATTTGATGGTGGTCAAAACAAAAAGAATTTAAAAATACGTTTTAACACATTAACTGATGAAATAGGGTTGTAGGATTGGAAAATAAATAAATTTCAAATTCTCTTTTGTTTTCATTGATACAAATCATATAAAGGCAAAAATTTGAAATGGTTTCAAAATAAATTTTAAAATACCTTTTTCTGAAATGACATTCAACAGTTCTCAAGCTGGTCTTACGTAACTGACTAAATTTGCCTTTGATGGAATATGTTGAGTATCAAGTATCATATCACCGAACTATTGACATATATATCATATGAGAACAAAATAGTTCCAGCCCTTGACAGGCCTACCTATAACGACACCCTGATGCCAGGCCTACCTATGATGACACTGTGGAGCCAGTGTGGAGCCTACCTGCTGTGTGGAGCTGATGAGGAAGCCCTGCTGGAGGCGGTACAGCTGGTCCGAGGCACACTTCCGCGGGCTGTGGTTCCTCTGGAGCAGGGACTCAATCTGGGGACAATCACACAAAGAATAATCCATCCAGTCAAGACTGACTACACATTCTACAAGATCATACACACTTATGATGCATCGAAACTCTTGAGATCATGATCTCACAGATTAACCACTTGGGTAAAAGACTACCTCTTTAAGGGCATAAATAGTTAATAATTAGATTGTTATCCTCCGCAACCATTTTGTGGTGTCATTTTGACAAGCTGCAACAAGAGTTGAATCCTCATAACACGGACTCACTTTCTGCAAGGCAGTTTCGGTCTTCTCGGGGTGCGTCTTCATAGTGACTGAGGCATCGTTCACGGGGAATGGCATCTTGTGTAATGAGAAGTTCCTGGAACAGTAGATATATGTCAGTTCCTGGAACTCTACAATGTGTTTGAGGAGAGACGAAGTAAAAGAAGTATTGGACAATACAGATTTAATGATGCCGTGACCAAGTTCAGTATCCAATACACAATCACAGCATGACAATTAACCATATAAGTTTATGTTTCATTATAACATTTCTAAACTATGACATTTGAGCTTTTATTATAAGGTTTTGGGATGGATTTTTTTCATTATTAGTTGCTGTAGTCACTTGAAGACATGGTGAACTTTGTTGGTTACTATATTCCAGCGTCTTTGTTTTGAAACTAGGTGTGACCATCAACAGCAATGAAGGCTTGAAGTTCTTATTATCACAATATTCAAAGAAACAAAAGACATTCACAGATTTGTAATGAAACCAGCTAACAATCTTCCCACACAAGTGATACTGAGTGAGTGAGTGAGTTGGGTTTAATGCCACTTTGAACAGTCTTCCACTTACATCATGGCATGTCAGCTTAATGCTGGAGGAAAGACCGAAAGGTGCAGTCTCAAACGTATAGCGCTTTGGTGAAACCAACGAGAATGGGCATGTTGCCGACAAACCTAGAAACATAATCGGGGTGAACCGGGATTCGAACCAACAATTATAGGTTTGGACGAAACCATACAGCCCATTGCTGTATCTTAGATGACTGGGTCCCCCATGTCCCCCACGAGTGATACTGAGGGCTTGTATCACTTTACTTGTCAGACAATAATACACCCACAGTTATATTTTAACCCAGGCCACGGCAAAGCACTCTCCACTGGGCCACCTCAACTGCACATGTACACTGTGATCTCCTATCTCCTTGTGACTGAGCCAACCTACTTCTCCAGGGCTTCGGCAATGTCTTCAAATCCCTGAGCGGTGGTGCCGTTCTTGTCCCACAAGATGGTGCGGAGTCTGGTGTTGATCTGGAGTGCCTTTGCCAACATCCTTGCCCCAATGTCTCCCATTAGGTTACCACTGAAACAGAGTTCAATCTACATGCAGGGGGAGGACTACTATAACCTTCCTAAACAACAAGAAAATGTTACTTCTACAAAGTTGCTATAACTTGCGCCTTGAACATCCTTGTACATCCTTGTACATCCCCTGACCTTTGGTCTAACTGTGTACCAGCCCATTCAGTTGGTAAAATCTCCTACACCCCACTAGTGCCATGTAATACAACATAATAATAATACACTCTTTTCTTACCATAAATACAAGCAATAAGGCATTGTTAGTTCAACTGATGAAAGAAATATGATTTGGTTGGTGATCTGGTCAAGATGGCTCTTGACATGAAAGTGGCATATGTTCATGCATAGTACCATATCATTTATCATCCAAAACTGGCTCCCACAGGAGATATCGCTTGGATTAGATCCAGCGATATCTACACTGTAGATATCGCTGAAATGAAATTACATCACAATGCTTTGCAGACCATTGTGTCGTCACTGGTTACCATGACATCACAATCAAATGACATCACTAATGGCTCTGCTACTGAAGCTGTTAGCAGTACTTTTTACACTGAAGACACTGCTAATTACTGTCTACAAATGAAAAAGTTGGAAGAATGATGTTGGATGATAAATAAAATCACACCCTCGTGTCTTTTGATACCAAATATATCAACACTCGTTGATAAAAGTGGAAAAAATCCTCGGCAAGCCTCGGAATTATTCCACTTTTATCAACTCGTGTTGATATATTTGATATCAAAAGACACTCGCGTGAGATTCTCTATATATCACGTATCACCACAACACTTTACTATTGAGATGTATACCAGTATTACATCAAGCAAAAGTGTAACATTGCAGCTCAATTTTTAAATGCCTCTCTGACATGATTTCTACATTTCTTTAAAAACACTTTCAGAAATCTTAATGACGCATTAATTTTTTTTTAAAGTACTACATGATGGATACATCCCATAATTTTAAAGCATAACAGCTGTCAATACAAATTTCATTTCATGCATCCAGATGCCCAAGAATGTGTGTGTACCTGAGGTCGATGGTGACGAGGGAGGTGTTGCTGCCCAGGGCGTTGATGATGTAGGCTGTGTCTGCCTTGAGACGAGAGTCAGCCAGGGACAGAGATTCCAGAGACTGTGGGTAACATGCATGCAACCATGTCAATAAACAATATAAGACACAGCGAACCAATCAGATCACACTGATCTGCAGTGTTTCATGTTCAACTTGAGAATGAGGCTGGATGCTTACACATAGGGGTTTACAGGAGCTCACAGATACTCTATTCACTGAATTAAGCGCTGTAACAACTCACTGACAAACTGCCAATCTGTGAGGAATCTTTGCAAGTTGTCCTTACGAAAACCAAACTTTTCATAAGAGTTGTTTACAGTTGTTTACAGACAATCTCATTAAAATCAGATCTTAGTTCTTGCTACCGCTAAACAAAGATCCGAGGACATCCCATTACGGGATCATGTCAGACTGACCTTCTGCGAACTTTGACCGACCATTGAATTGACCAATCTGAAGGGAGCTTTCTCGTGCTTTACGGCACTAATTTCAAATTGGCGACTACGCTTCGAAACATATTTTGAAAAATTCTTGATTACAAATTTGATTGATTTTAATGAGATTGGTTTACAGAAAACAGCAGCACAGAAGGGGTATATAGTTGCCTTGAAAATATTATGGAAAGTTCTTAATATGCCCCTTTTGTAAATTTTCTCGGTACCAGAGGCACTTAATATGGCAAATATGGTAAGTGAATGACAGAGAATTCTAGTTTGGAGATAATCATTTGAAGAATAGTTCAGCAAGACCAATTCATATCGTTTCCGCCCGACAACCGGTGATTAAGTCCGAGAAGCATTTCATAATGCTGTGGTAAGAGGTAATGAAACTTCAAGATAACACTGACATTTCTTATTTCTATTCATAAACCTATCACTGTATCACCCTGTATTGCATTAGGTTCCTGACAACCTCAGGTAAACCTAGTAACCAGCTCATCTTCCAAACCGAGGGGCAGGTGATGAGAGTTGTTCAATTTTACATGTCATGACCAAACCTTGGAGACGTGTTTTATCCTTTACTTGTTTTGCCTCTTCTCAGCCTTTTTATAATATGTACAACATCGTCCACAAAAGCAACAAGTTAACAATGTACGGTCAGCTACTCACACTTTCTTCCTCTTGTATAAGCTGCACCACCGGATCAAGCACTGACAGCATGTTCCTGAAGATAATCAAGACACGAGACGTTTCATGCATCAGCAATGATTTAAATATTTTCACATCTAATCATAGACGTACAATATGGATATCAAATCATACAGCTGACACTGGCTAGACAAACCATGTACATTCATGATATACATGTTATACAACACTGCATGGGCAACAATGTGGCACATTTGTTGTTGTTTGTAATGCCATGTAACAAATTTATATGGTCAATGTATTAGGACTGGGTCGAGTCTAAATTTACAACCCGGGTACCCATCCCCCAATTACCCGACCGTACCCGGGTACCCACCCTTCTATTACCTGACTGTACCCGGGTACCCGCTGTAGGTCTCAAGGGATAGGTACAAACTGTCCGATTGGGAAAAGTGTGACCGTAGCTCTGGTAACATGTGTTCAGATACATGTATGAAATTATCTGGTGTATACACTGAAGTTGACTGAAGTTTTATTTTTATTGAAACATATAAATGTCAGAAGTAATGGGCGTAGTAGTCGGGAAGAACTGCAAACACTGTAGTTTAAACATAGAGTTTTAGATACATTTTGTCATTAAACAAACAAAAACTAAACCCCCCAAAAGAACTAAAATCTGTACTTTACTAAGAAAGTGTTATCCCAAATTTAACATTTGTTACATTTGACCACTTTCCAAATGGCATTATGTGTTCATGCTAAGGTTCAACAAAAACACTTCATCCAGATGCAGGGGGCACGGGGGGCCCAGTCGTCTAAGGCGCCGCGATTCGCTGTGCAGAGTTGCGTCCCTTGGACACGCCAGAAACCTATGATTGTGGGTTTGAATCCCGATTCGCCCCGATTATGTTTCTAGATTTGTCAGCACCCTACCCGTGCTTTTGGGTTTCACCGAAGTAGTAAACGTCTGAGACCTACATCACTTCAGGCTTTCCTCCCACATTAAGCTGACATGCCGTGATATAACTGGAATACTGTTAAAAGCGGTGTTAAACCCAACTCACTCAATCACTCACTCACTCACTCATCCAGATGCGAATCCTGAATGTCATAAAAGGGACGGTTCCCAACTTAGCCAAGTACACCTGCTTCCCTCTCTCAATCCACCTGTGTTCATCATGGCGACAATCAAATGATACAATGCTCAACATTTATCGACTTACTTTGGTTTGACCCCTTGGAAGTTTCGTCCTATTGACAGGTGTTTTAGAGACTGGCATTTGGCTATCTCAGGGAGCAGCAGCTTGAGGTCGGAATCAAACCCTGAAATCACATCACAAACATTGATTTCACACAAACACTGATTTCACACAAACACTGATTTCACACAAACACTGATTTCACACAAACATCATCCATGGAAACATAGAACACAAATATTCTTCTTTACTTGATGACACATACCGTATTCGACCCATTAAGCGCCCCCCCCCCCCTTCCCGGTTCTGAAAATTTATATAGTAATTATTTCGTTTTAAATGAAAATCGTCCGGGAACCGTAGTTTCCGGATATTTGAAGTCTGTATAAGCGGGGCATGACTGTATTCTGTTTATTTTAGATATTTGTGACTTTGAATATTATGCACAGGAAAAAATTACACCGTACCCCTTCAGCGAAGTCCGGCAAAAGAACGGGTGATGAGAAACTTTGTCAGTATACAAATTCGAAATTTGAGATAAAAAAATCACCAGACATGTTGATTTACCATTTAAATTGTATTTTTTGTTCAGCTAGGCATCGTTTTATATCCAGGGATTAAGATTACCTTGTGCATTTTCTCGTAAATTAAGCCGGACACAGCAATCAGCTGTACACACGTTTTCTTGGAATCTACCGGTGAGTCGGTCAAGACACACCCAATGATATAACTTTATAGGATTTTAAATGCAAGGATGGGCAAAAGTTGTATCTGAAACTATTTTTTTATCAGGAATAATATATTCCAATATCTTGTTAATTTAGATGCAGCTTTTACTAAACATATTTAAAATAATAATAATCCTAAGCGAAGCAGCTGATTGCTATTGCCGGGTATTATTTTTTTACATGGAACCAGTCTGACCAGTCACCGTCAAGGCTCCCGTGCACGTGACCGCGTGATCGCAAGAATTACGTGTTCACATAGAATCGTCCAACAAAAAGAAATATGACTTTTAACGATTCAAAGTATGGCATTTATGATATATGTATACATTCTCTGTCAACTTAAGTTCATTTCAAGGCGTCAATAGCGGTAATCTGACCATGGTTGCTGTTAATAACGGTGAGTTGTGCGATCTTCCGATCGCTTCACACACAATTTCGCCGAAATTAATTAAAACAATATTAATAGGAATTTTGAATAAAATTAATGAAATAAGTTACAAACAAAAGTCCAGATATACAAAGAACACTTTTTATAGCCAGACAGTGTAATTACATGAATAATTTGCGAACTTCAGTATGGATTTGTTGACATGGTATTTCCGGTGTTATGTGCTCACAGAAATGTCTTTCCATGGGGGAAAAAAACATCAAAACTCATTAATTCGTGTATAATGCGCACCCCCTTCTACACAGCTGTGTTTTTTGGAAAAAAAGTGCGCACTATTCTCAAGAAAATACGATAAGGCTTACTGATGAATTTACGCCAATTTGACTCTGAATTGTCCCCAATAAGCGCCCACCCTTTCTGTCTTTTTTTAAGCGCCCTGGGCGCTTAATGGGTCGAATACTGTATGTAGAACATACAGCTGTGATAAAGTTGTTTTGATTTCCGTATTTCCATGAAAAGGCACCTGGCACCTATTTTCTCAGCCACCTCACATGTGAGGCAGGTAATAGAGACCTGGCCCCCGTTCCACATAGCGATCTTAGCCCTAAGACGATCGTAACTCCCATACTATAACATAGACTTACAGGAGTCGTAGTACTAAGAACGCTTTGTGGAACGGGCTCAAAGCCTATTTCCACATTGCTGTGCTCTATAAACTATCACAATTTCTACATCTATACATTTGTTAGATCCGATAACGTCACAATTCTAAATTCTTGAGAATTTCTAATTCAGTTCAAAAGATACACAAGAAAGGCAGTACTCTTTTCATGTGGTGCTGATGACAGGCAGTGCTGATCTGCTCTTCATACAAGAAGTCAGTTAAGTCTGACACCATGGTACTTATTGGGGACCCGGTATTTATTGGAGATCCGGCGACTTCTGGAGCCCTGTCACTAATTAAAAACCCAGTGCTTACATCTTATGTGAGTTGCTTAAGACATGGCATTATTTAGTGGATGGCCATTATCTGAGTCCCATCCATTGTTACTGTACTCTAATTTCAGGGCTGAATTATTTCTTTTTAGAATCCACGCCAACAATATTTAAAAAATGTTGATCTTCCTATGATAAGAGCTGATATTTTGATGCTCCTGCCTGTATGCCCAGTGTGTAGCTCACCATTGTTGCTGATGTCCAGACTGATGAGGTTTTTAATCTCACTGATGCAACCCGCGATGTTGTGTGTCCCCTGACCTTGAAGGTCATTGCTGCTAAGGTCAAGGTGAAGTTTGTGTATATGTCTATTACTGGATATCCCAAGCAGCAACTCTCTGAAAAGCAAATGTCAGCATTCTCAAATACAGGAAAGCAAAACAATTTAAGAAATGGGTAAATACCTTAAAAACTACAAGAATTTGATTGTTCATGATATTAGTATATTTATCCTAACACAACAAGTCCCTGGCCCTCTTGTCTGTCCTCTGTCTGATGTTCTAGCAAAGCGCTGATGAGAAGAGAGTGAAGGGATAGGGACAGATAACTCCTGTTGGTAACCAAGGGCTGGGGCACCCCAGAGGCGGAGGAGGCACGTTTTGGGTTCTGTGTTATAGGATCAAAGTCCAGAAGGGAATTTGCAATGTGTTGTGTCAGGATAAGAAATAATCAACGAACTTGAAGTGAAGTGAAATAAAAAGGTGTACTTAATGGATGCCATATGAGTGTTTTCAGTTATAGATGACTTTGTAGACGCATTGAGAGACATGAAGAGTTGGACTATTTTTTGTCAATGAATTAATTCCTAAACTGTTGAAAGAGTGGGTGAAAGTTGAAATGAACTGAAACCTTGTTAATTTCTTCATCCTAATGGCCCCTCCTGACACTACTGGTATCAGCATTCCCCTTGTCTCTAACTACAGATAAACTCAGGTTATCCCTTAATTTCACAAAGACATCTTTGTGTTGTGAATATAATATATGTCTGAGGCAATTTTAAAAAGATTCTAAGGAAAAGAATTCATGGATGTCAACTCCTTTATTATGAAGAACACACATATACTTATACTTACTCCTTCATTCACCTGAGGAAGAATAAGTATATACTCTGTTGTGTCCCCCACAAATAAAGAAGTTGACATCCATAAATTCTCTTCCTAATGTATTTTACTTCTAAATGCCTTTCAAAGACGATTTAGTTGATAATTAGACCACTCTCCTCAAAACCAGCAATTGGTGCAGTATGAACTGAATCGGAAGACATGGTTCCTCTTTAAGAACACAAAAGGCATGAAAAGATTAGATGGATCGGCACTAACAGCATCTCCCAAACAATCCAAGATTGTCATGGCCTTGTGGAGAGGTCTTAGTCTCAGCAGATGTCTTCATTTGTGAAGATAAATCCACATACACTGTAGTTAGTTTATCTCACAGTCCCTGAACCATATTACTTTCCCTTCAAAGCAGCCCTTACTGTAATGCTGTAGCCATCAATAAAGAAAGTCTAGATTTTCCACAGGTTCTGAATCACCAATCTCACTATGGCTCCTTTATAATTAAAATGTAGTTGCTTGTTTCTATCAAAACAAGAGTTTGCCACTAACGTGGCTATCCCCCACCCTTGTTGCAGAATTCAAAACATAATTAAATCTAAACAAACCCTAACCTTTTGTAACCTAGGGGAACTTGTCATGGAAATTGTAAAAAAAAGAAGTGTTTCGAACCTAAGTCCATCTTGCTGCCATGGAAACGTAAAAAATAAAAATTTCTAAAATTTCTAAATAGTAAAAGGCACCAGTTCAGCATGTACCTGACAAACCTGCAAGTTTGATGAAAAAATATTGAACGGTTTATGAGTTATGCTCCGGAAACGAAACATGACGAACAGAGCCCGTTTCTATAAAGTTTCCAGAGACTAACTGTTGGTCTACCACATAGCCTAAGCTGGGAACAACCAGCATAAATATTTCATCATTCACAATGTCTTCAGGAATTTCCTTCCCAACTAGGTTCAGATACAATTCTACAAAAACCCTGCAGAGATGCTCCAGAGGCTTAGGGACCGGTCATTTATAACAGGAAGGGATGGGTCCACATGTCCTTGTATCGTTTCATGACCTCCTCCAAATATGACTATTATTTTTTACGACCCTGCCCTAGAGACCATCATATTTGGGGTGACCCTACCCTGATTCGTTCTGACCCCACCCTATCCCCCCCATATAATAAATGACAGGTCCCTTAGTGACATCTTTTGTAAGGGATCTTCCAATGACCTAGAAGCCGAATCTGGCTCATACCAACTTACTTGACTGCTTCTGGAGGAAGCCTTGTACTAGACAGGTCGATGTGCTCCAACATACACACTGTGGCGAAGAACTGTTTGAGGCTGGTCGGTACCTGTACATCCTTCATCTTCTTGTGGGTGAAGGTCACATGAGAGACGTTCAGGTGGATCAAACTCGTACAGCATCCTCGCTGCAGTGCTCCAAATAACTGGAATAACAAATGGAATCAACATTTAGAGGAAACCTCAGGTGACATCACTTGTTCTGTGAACCCCACATAAATAGTGGGTGAGTGAGTGAGTTTGATTTTATGCCGCTTTTAGCAATATTCCAACAATATCACGGCAGGGGACACCAGAAATGGGCTTCACGCATTGTACCCATGTCGGGATTCAAACCCGGGTCTTCGGCGTGACGAGCGAACGCTTAAACCATTAGGCTACCCGACTGCCCCCCCACATAAATATATGTAGAGAAGTTGGTTAATTGTTGATAAATGCAGGCAACGATTTATGGAATTATGGGTGTGTCACATTGGTAAAACAAAGGGCAAATGGCAGAAGATTTCACACTGGTTGAGAGTTTTCCAACCAAATCAATAAAAAGTCCTTTAAAAGTTAGGAGTTAGGGACCAGTCATTTATTATAGTTTGTTGGTTGGTTGTTTTGTTTGTGTGTTGTTTAACGCTGAACTTAGCAATATTCCAGCTACATGACGGCGGTCTGTAAATAATCGAGTCTGGACCAGACAATCCAGTGATTGACATCATGAACATCAATTTAGTACATGTTTTAAATGAAGATTTTATATATAATGTTTCTAACAAAACATGATACATGAAAACAGACCAAGAAGAACAATACACAAGCATGATTCTGGTTCACTGCAGTGTGGTCCTTTGAGTATTGAGGAAAGGGAGGCAACTCGATCCAGTCAAATTCTCATATTCAACTATACAGACAAGGTGTCTGGGTTAAGAGCATTCCACTGTAGTGCCATGTTCAGAGATCCAGCACCTACTAAGGGCACTGGTGGCCCAGTGGTGTAAGCTGCATCCATTAGGCATTCCAACATCCAATCATGGGTTCAAATCCAAGATTCACCCTGATTACATCAGCACCAGACCCAGGGTTTTACATGACGCGCACACCACACACAAATCAAATGAAGGGAATGGATGTAGAAAAACAATATACTGTGTACTAAGGGTCTCACAATGATATTCATTGTACCTACAGTGCATCAACAGCAGTCATGGGGGTCTGTCATTTCATCCATCAATCATGACCACTGTCCACATGATCATTGATTCATTCCACGCTCTAATAATTATCAAAACATACAGTACATTAAATCATTTCATTACTTTACAGGTCCCTCAAATTGCTGCAAGGACTAATAAACTTAACTTTCGGGATCCTGACCCAACTTATGTAATTCAAGGTACAACCCTGATACAATGCTTGTTGGTCTCACCAAAGTAGTAAATATCTGCATCACATTGGGCTTTTGGTTTTCCTCCCATATTGAGCAGGCACGCCATGATATAACAGAAATACTGTTCAAAGCGGCATCAAACCCAACACACTCACTCACCCCAGCACCTACCATATCAAGGGTACAGTCAGTGTAGGAGAGATCCAGATGAGTCAGGCCGTTCGGATGGGCCAGAAAGTTGAAAACTTGCTGAAAAAACAAAAAAATACTCATGTTTCCTGGAAACATTTCATGTGTTGTAGAAGGAAGATGATCAATATTGTGTCTTTATCCTTGCTGGTATCATTTTCTTAATATTTAAAGGACTGAAAATGTTTTAATCCATTCCTGTTTGTATGAGAGTGGTAGGGATGGGATACAGTATGTAACAAGTACTGTGTACACACGTTGTCACCAGTAAGCCAGCCATAATACCCTTTGGCCATAGCTGGTTGCTCTTAATGTAAATGCCATGGACACATAAGTCATACACATCGTCACAAGTTTCAGCTCTCTGAATATATATATCTACAACATGTTTCCCAATTTAAATTTCTGTGCTGTTTTTTAAGAAAAAGAAATAGTGTCACAGCACTGTAGCTCATCTGGAGATGTAGTCAACAGTCTAAATGTCAACAAAGACTGCCACGAAAAAAATTCTGTAAGTACTGACACTTAAATATTTTCTGCATGAATAGTGAGGACTAAAAACTAACACTAAAATCCAATGATTTAAACAAAAAATGATGTCATCATAAGGAGAAACATCCATGCCAAGTTTCAACTCTATCATCGTGGGGAGAAGAAGCCAAATACCATATTTGACATAATAAGTGCCCAGGGCGCTCTCAAAATTAGAAATGGGGGCTCTTATTAGAATAAAAGATCATAAATTTCGTGGTTTATGGTGACAGCCTGAAATGATACAAAAGAAAAGTCTGTGTGTATACACGGCAGATATAGTTTTCCAGAATTTAATTGCCCATAATTAAGGGTGCATATAACACACGAGTGCGTATTATACACGAATAAATAAGTCTTGAGTACATTGATCAATCGGAAGGAATTGGAATTGTTCACTCGCCAATATATTAGCAAATATCGCCGTGGGCGCTTATTAGAGCAGGGCGCTTATTACGTCAAATACGGTATGCATTTAAAGAATTCTAAAAAGTCAAAATTAAAAACTATCTAAAAAACGGAACATATGTGTTGAAACCAGCAACTAACTAAACAAATACCGATTTTCATTCCATTTTTGTACGAAACAGACAGCGTAATGGCCATATATAGGTGCTTCAAAATGGCTACCATATCACACTACTGAAAATCAGATAGAAACTCTTGAACAAATTCAAGGTCAGCTGTCGGACAACACATCATTTTAGAATTTAACCTTCAGGGTTTTGGTCATATGAAAATTTAAAAGTAACATGACGTCAGTAAGTGCTCAGTTCTTACTGTTAGATCTTCCCCCTTCTGTCCGTTCTCGGCCAGCTTGAGGGTTCGGAGGGTATTTGGGATACATGCACTTCCCCCCATTGTATCCGCTATCCTGTTGAGGCCTTTCGTTGTCATCCCTGTCTTCGACACATCCAGGTACACGAGCCCCTTGGCCTGGTTACTTAACGAGCCCATCAGGTGATGCACACCTGGAAGAGGAGGTGAGGTGAGGTGAAATGGGGTTTAACGTCACGTCCAAGATTATTGCACTTATATAGCAACGTGCATGCACGTGTGTGTGTTTATGTGGCTGCTTGTACTAGTCCGGACTGATGCCGATTTATAGTGCTAGCTCACTAAGATACCATGCCGCAGTTTAACATGAATACCCCACTCAGACACAGTATACTGACTCCGAGCCGACCAGTCCTTGTTTTAGCCCCTTAATGCCGAGCGCCAGACAGGGTAACAACAAGTACAATCTTTTAACGTCTTTTGGTATGACGCGGCCGGGGATTGAACTCCGGACCTTCCGCTCTCCAGGCGGACGCTCTACCACTAGACCATGGAGGCGGTCCCTGGAAGAGGAGTTGTCATTAGCTGACCTCATCATGGCACCAGTGTCCCTTTCATCCTTTATATATCCCCATATCTTTCCTCATTAATTTATTATGAGATGCAAAGAAGAAGACAAAGTCATCAATAGACCCAGCCTTTTAAATATTTGCATAAAATCACAAAAAATATGTCTTATACCTCATGATAGTGAAAAAATTAATCCTAAAACTTACATTTCTTAGAAGTTGATGGATGACAAAGTGGACAAAAATAATATGGATAACAACTTCTTTATTATACTGCTATAGCGATGTTTTGGTCTAGATCCTTATACCATTGTCAAGCAAGACTGGTTAACTCAAGTGCAGTCAGGAGACGCGGAGATGATGAGGATATGATTTATTTGTTTGTTGTTTAACGCCGCACTCCGCAATACTCCAACTATATGATGGCGGCCTGTAAATAATCAAGTCTGGACCACACAATCCAGTGATTGACATCATGATATAATGACATTCATCGCCCAAGTCAGCGAGCCTGACCACCAAATTCTGTTAGTCGCCTTTTATGGCAAGCATGGGTTGCTGAAGACCTGGATGTTCATGTGGTAGGGGTAGGGGTAGGGGTAGGGGTAGGGGTAGTGGGTAGGGGGACAGCGATGGGGGTAGGGGGTAGGGGTTGAGGATACAAAAACAACCTGATCCCAGGTATTGATCATAGACAACAGAGATGCCATGCACACAGTTCCAGAAATATACCTCTATCTTCTAGGAAGTTATTCGACAGGTCGACTCGACACAGCTGGGTACCGCTGTTGGACAATAAGGCAGTTGACAGTTTCTGTATAAAATCTCTGAAATCAGACACAAGTTACATACAAATAAACATCTGCTACTCTCCCAGAGACTTCTCTTATAACAATGCAGAGCTTCATACACGGACCTTCAAGATTGGTTGGTTAGTTTGTTGTTTAACACCGCACTCTGCAATATTCCAGCTATATGACAGCGGTCTGTAAATAATCAAGTCTGGACCAGACATTCCAGTGATTAATATCCTGATCATCGCCCCACGCAATTGGGATCAATGACATGTATCAACCAAGTCAGCGAGCCTGACCACCCGATCCCGCTAGTCGCCTTTTACGACAAGCATAGTTGCCTTTAACGACAAGCATAGTCACCTTTTACGGCAAGCATGGGTTGCTGAAGACCTATTCTACCCGGAATCTTCATGGTGAAAGTGTACGGAATCAACATGCACACCAGTTGTAAAGGGTGAGCTAGGATGCCATTTAGTCTTGCGCCATGACTGTGGAATTTATATTTTTTAGGTATTTTCTAGATCAAACCAAACCAAGCTAGTTTGCTTGATGAAAACAGCAGAAGGGGAAAGGTTCTTTGGAAGAAATTTAAAAAAAATTATTTTAAAGAAATGTTTTCATTGACTAAGTGAGTTATTTAAGTCTAGGTGCCATGTCAAGTGGGCTTATCGTTACTTTGAACATTACAGCTTTAGCTTCGTGAAGGCTCCAAGTGAGTGTGTTTTAAGCCACTTTTAGCAATATTCCAGCAATATCACACAGGGAAAACCCGGGACTTCAGTATGACAAGTGACCGGTCTAACCACTTGACCACCGCCCAGAAAGAATGTAAGCCCAAATTGGTTTTATGCCACTTTCAGCAATTTTCCAGCAATATCACACAGGGAACACCAGAAAAGGACTTCACACATTGTACCCATGTGGGGAATCAAACCCAGGTCTTCAGTGTGACGAGCAAACGCCATAACCACTAGAGTACCCCACCGCCCCTGAACGAGGAGGATGAGAGACTTACACTTTGATTCCTGTATTGCAGAGTCCCAATTCCTCTATCACAGAGTTACGCTTCATCACTTGTAAAATCTCGTTGGCAGCTTCGGATGTCTATAACAAAATCAGCAGTACAAATACATCACACATACCAATGGAAGCCAAACAGGAAACACACAGAAATATAGAAACAGAAAATTACTAACTGGGTTTAAAATCGATGGCTCAAATCAATAAAATCAGACACAAGTGTAAAAAATTACTATTTGTTTTGCCCATAAAATCGATGACCCTACTAGGCTCACAAATGACTGAGTGAGTGAGTGTGGTTTTATGACGCTTTTAGCAATATTCCAGCAATATCACAGCTGGGGACACCAGAAATGGGCTTCACACATTGTACCCATTTTGGGAATCAAACCCGGGTCTTCGGCATGACAAGCGAACGCTTTAACCACTAGGTTACCCAACCGCCCCCACAAATGACTGAAGCATGTTGTAAATAAAATGCCTCAGTCAGCAATATTCCCCCTACATCTGGGCAACCTGTAAATAATGCGGTCTGGACAAGAGACCAATGACATACATCACTGGCAATCAGCCAAGCCACCAATGGAGCCCCGCCACTGGAGCCCCGCCACTGGAGCCTGGCCACTGGAGCCCAATATGGCAGCCATCAGTGGGACGCTGGGGATCTATTCCAAACCAACCCCTGCAGGGTTGTTCAATGCTTCCCTTCATAAACTCCCTTATTATTCTCCATCGGTAGAGAGTAACCCAGATGTTACAAGATGATGACAAACATGAGTTTGTAAGTATTACTAGAAAAATGTTTTACTCACCAGTTTGACATGGTTTGCATTTAATTTCGTAAACCAGCAATTATGCTCGAGAGCCGATATGATTGGCACCAGGTCCCTGAAACACAAACACATTCACATCAGCTCAACTACATATATCAGTTTATTTTTTATTTTACCTCCATTTTTATTTGTTTTCTCCAAAGTGGGTAAGTTGAGTTTACTGGTCATGTGAACAGTATGTCAGTTATATCACAGCGGGTCACATGGTGTGGGAAGAAATCAGGCATTTACAACATTTACGTGGTGCCTAGCTAGGCTATGGGAGATTCTTGGGTCTGTGTGCCTAGCTAGTCTATGGGAGAATCTAGGGTCAGTGTGCCTATCAAGGCCATAGGAGAATCTAGTATCGGTGTGCCTAGCAAAGCCATAGGAAAATCTAGGGTCGGTGTGCCTAGCAAGGTTATGGGAAAATCTAGGGTCAGTGTGCCTAGCAAGGCCATAGGAGAAACTTTGGTCGGTGTGTCTAGCAAGGTCATAGGAGAATCTAGGGTCAGTGTGCCTAGGAAGGCCATAGGAGAATCTAGGGTCAGTGTGCCTAGGAAGGCCATAGGAGAATCTAGTATCGGTGTGCCTAGCAAGGCCATAGGAGAATCTAGTATTGGTGTGCCTAGCAAGGCCATAGGAGAATCTAGTATCGGTGTGCCTAGCAAAGCCATAGGAAAATCTAGGGTCGGTGTGCCTAGCAAGGCTATGGGAAAATCTAGGGTCGTTGTGCCTAGCAAGGTAATAGGAGAATCAAGGGTCGGTGTGCCTAGCAAGGCCATAGGCGAATCTAGGGTCAGTGTGCCAAGCAAGGCTACGGGCAAATCTAGGGTCGGTGTCCATGATCAGTGGTGCCTAGCATGACTAAGGGAGACAACTCTGCAGAAATTACTTATATCGCTTGGAATCCATGCCCCAGAAACCATCAATGGAATTGTTTGTTTGTAGTTTAACTTTACAGCCTGTAAACAAGGCCAGGGCTTGACATAATGAACCTATTCATTCTTTCAAGGGGACTATTTTAAATACCAAACTATGTGCCATAGTTAGAAAGTGCACAAATCAAACTGACTTACTTTCCATTTAAATGGTCAAAATCTCGCAAGCACAGCTCCCGGGAGTCCTGAGATAGGTAAATGGTATCTACATCCTGAAACATAAATAAATAATATATTTTGTTAAATGTACACATAATATCTTTACTCTGAATTATTGAAAAAAGATTTTAGAGAAAAAAAATCAATGGTCTTGCATTGCTAGTAACAATCTTACAGGTGTACATCGACACGTAGCCCCGACAGAATACCTACCACACATACAGGCGTACATCGAGATGTAGCCCCGATAGAACACTTACCACACACACAGGCGTACATCGACACGTAGCACTGACAGAACACTTACCACACATACAGGTGTACATCGAGATGTAGCCCTGACAGAACACTTACCACACATACAGGTGTACATGGACACATAGCCCTGACAGAACACTTATCACACATACAGGTGTACATCGACACATAGCCCTGACAGAACACTTACCACACATACAGGTGTACATGGACACGTAGCACTGACAGAACACTTACCACACATACAGGTGTACATGGACACGTAGCACTGACAGAACACTTACCACACATACAGGTGTACATGGACACGTAGCACTGACAGAACACTTATCACACACACAGGTGTACATCGAGATGTAGCCCCGATAGAATACTTACCACACATACAGGCGTACATCGACACGTAGCACTGACAGAACACTTACCACACATACAGGTGTACATGGACACGTAGCACTGACAGAACACTTATCACACACACAGGTGTACATCGAGATGTAGCCCCGATAGAATACTTACCACACATACAGGTGTACATGGACACGTAGCACTGACAGAACACTTATCACACACACAGGTGTACATCGAGATGTAGCCCCGATAGAACACTTACCACACATACAGGTGTACATGGACACGTAGCACTGACAGAACACTTATCACACACACAGGTGTACATCGAGATGTAGCCCCGATAGAACACTTACCACACATACAGGTGTACATGGACACGTCGCCCCGATAGAACACTTACCACACATACAGGTGTACATCGACACGTAGCCCTGACAGAACACTTACCACACATACAGGTGTACATGGACACGTAGCCCTGACAGAACACTTATCACACATGCAGGCGTACATCGAGATGTAGCCCCGATAAAACACTTACCACACATACAGGCGTACATCGACACGTAGCCCCGACAGAACACTTACCACACATACAGGGGTACATGGACACGTAGCCCTGATAGAACACTTACCACACATACAGGTGTACATGGACACATAGCCCCAATAAAACACTTACCACACATACAGGCGTACATCGACACGTAGCCCTGATTGAACACTTACCACACATACAGGTGTACATCGACACGTAGCCCCGATAGAACACTTACCACACATACAGGCGTACATCGACACGTAGCCCCGATAAAACACTTACCACACATACAGGTGTACATCGACACGTAGCCCCGACAGAACACTTATCACACATACAGGCGTACATTGACACGTAGTCCTGACAGAACACTTACCCACGCCACTTCCTCCCAGTAGGGTAAGGAATGGTAGTCACACATACAGGCGTACATCGACACGTAGTCCCGACAGAACACTTACCCATGCCACTTCCTCCCTGTAGGGTAAGGAATGGTAGTCACACATACAGGCGTACATCGATGCATAGCCTCCACATGGCCCCATGTCTTTTCCTTCAATATCTTTGATCATGTCATACATAGTTTTCAACCTTTCCGGAGGTGTGACCTCTAGTTTGACTATTAACCGTCTGCAAGAAAGAACAAATAAATTGCTGGTATTCCAGAGAATGTGTTGACCAAGAGACATTGATGTTTCCGTATATTTAATTACATCATAAATTATGTTGTTCTTGTTTTAAAATCATTCTCCTTCAACTCCTAAAACAATTAGGGTACTGGTAGAAGTAGTTATTTCTTTGTTTTTGCTTTGTTTTTATCTATACATTGTATTTCTGTTAGTCACTTTTCTCTGCAAGTTGATAGAAATGTCAAAAACAATTTTGATATAAAAATTCATAATGAAGAGAATTTAGGAATGTGAGCTTCTATATCATGAGGAACAAAATGTTTCGGAGTATGTATCCTTCATCACCTGATGAAGGAGTAAGTATATACTCCGAAACATTGTCTTCCTCCTTATAAAGAAGACACCTGGCTACAGATAAGAAGCATATTTGCGTAAAATACCCCCAAAAAATATTCAAAACCCAATTACTTTCAATTAACTTGTGTACAGAAACGCATGCATTAAATGAAAAACTCAAATGTATAAAAACAGCTCGCGTAATTACCCAATGAAGCTTTATCAGCATGCGTATTTCCGAAACACAATAACGAGTTAATTTACTCTCCGAGTCAAGCCTATATATGTAGAACAGTTATATATACTACTCAAAAGAAGTTAAGGATCACCCAATTCTTTCATATTGGTAACGTTAATCTGTCATGGCATGAGAGATTAACTATTGTAATATGAAAGAATCAGGTGATCCTTAACTTCTTTTGAGTAGTATACATCTAAATCATTATTTCATTTTTCTTTAAATCTAAAGATGTTTACTCATTTTAGGAAAAAAACAATTGTGTGATGAATAGATGAGTGAAAAAATATTGGTTACCCAATGAAAAATGTAATAACCCAATTAAAATAGAAACCCTAGAGTAAAAACTCAATTGCTTAAAAAGTTATCTGGAGCTCTGTATATACTCCGAAAAGATGTGTTCCTCATAATGACTAAAATGGACATCCATAAATTCTCCTCCTTATGTGTATCACTTCTAAATGCTATTCAAATACTTGAAAAAAAAAAATCATGTAATCCATCAAGGTTATTAAAAGAAGTATTCATCACTATGTGAACTACTATAATGAATAACCAAATTAAACAGTTTAGTTTCGTACCAAGAATACATTAATACACCTGACACACAATCCCCTTCCCCATCGTCTGCCAGACAGGTGAGGTAACTGTATGCCCAATCATCTGAGTGCATGTGTACTTACTCTAATGGAAATGAGGGAAAGATCTGTTTGAGTGACTTCCCGACGTGCGTGACCATGTGATCTATCTCCTCCGTGTCTGGTTCTAGAGTTACGAACGTGTAACACTTCCCCTCCACCGTCAACACCATCTGCAAAAACAGCCATGCATGACAACATCCTATCATTCTCCTTAATTTGGTGAAGTAGCTCACGCAACATATTTTGTCTAATTAGCCGGGATGAGAATGGTTTTTTTCAATAAGCACAGAAAGTTAGCTAGGGGTCTTGGTGACTGTATGATTTATGAGAATATTGTAATGGCATGTACGATGAAAGTGACGAAATGGACGAAATTCTGCGGATCCACAGAAAATTCTCATCCCTGAATCAGGAGTGAGTTTGGCGTTATGTTGTACTAGCAATATTTTAGCAATATCACCATGGGGGACACCGGAAATGGGCTTCACACATTGTACCCATGTCGGGAATCAAACCCGGGTCTTTGGCATGATGAGGTAACGTTATAACCACTAGGCTACCCGACCGCCCCCTGAATTTGGAGGTATCTCACCTATAAGCAGTCCCACATACAGGAATGTAAATCAACCATACTGGTTATTTGAACCCCATCTGAGAACAGTTGTGAACTATTTCAGGTCATTCGATCTCCAGTTTCAGCACCCAATCCTCCATTCAGTCATCTGATGCCCATTACAGGTCATCCGATTCCCATTGGCAGCGGTAGAAACTAACAGTTTTTGTCCACTAGTCCTTATAATGATAACATACAGCAAAACCTTTGAAAAGTGCAAATTTCTACTAGTCCTTATGATACCTTAACTATTGGCCAGTGTGGCAAGGACTACAGGACTAGTGCCAATTTCTAACGCTGATTGGAGTGAGTGAGTATGGTTTTACGCCGCTTTTAGCAATATTCCAGCAATATCACGGCGGGGGACACCAGAAATGGGCTTCACACACTGTACCCATATCGGGAATCGAACCCGGGTCTTCGGCCTGACGAGCGATGCTTTTACAACTAGGCTACCCGACTGGCCCTGATTCTCATTGGAAATCACATGTAACAATGCAAATAGGCTGTTCATTCCACTCATAATTGTTTGTGTGTGTTTGTTTATTTGTTTGTTTGTTGTTTAATGCCGAATTCAGCAATATTCCAGCTATATGACAGCGATCTGTAACTAATCGAGTATTGACCAGACCATCAAGTGATTGACATCATGAACATCAATCCATGCAGTTGGATTACAATGACTTGCATCAACCAAGTCCGCGAGTCTGACCATCCAATCCAGTTAGTCACCTTTTATGACATGCATAGTCGCCTTTTTACAGCAAGCATGGGTTACTGAAGACCAATTCTTCACGGGTCCATCCCACTCACAAATCGTTTAGTCTACATCATAGGTATTCCTACTCAGTTGATTAAGTCCTACTGAAACTCTGCACATTGTAAAGACGAACAAAAACAACATTTTACAGATTTGGATTTTGTTTTCATTTTAAATGTCATTCTAGAAGATGGTGAATAAATAAGAACATAACTTTATGGATATGTGATGTTTGTTGTTTAACGCCGCACTCAGCAACATTCCAGCCATATGACGGTGGTCTGTAAATAATCGAGTCTGGACCAGACAATCCAGTGATTGACATCATGAGCATTGATCCATGCAATAGGGATACGATGACATGCATCAACCAAGTCAGCGAGCCTGACCACCTGATCCCGTTAGTCGCCTCTTACGACAGGCACAGTTGCCTTTTACAGCAAGCATAGCTAGGTTGCTGAAGACCTATTCTACTCCTGATCTTCATAGGTCTCTTTATGGATAACAACTTCTGGTTAATTGCATTCTACATCCAAACGTCACCGACTGCATGAAGCTGTACTGTTTCTTAGCTATTCAACATGAGGAACTGTATCAAGGCTGACCGGAAAATAAACAGTGTACATGGTGTAGGGCAATGTTACATCATGTACTGAACAAAATTTGTGAATTTTGAGACTCTTATTTTTGTATCTGGTATAGATAGGCAGGCAAATAAACATAATACTACCTATCATAATTAATTTAACAATCAACTCCAGAGTATAGAAAGCTGAGATGGCCCCAACAACATTCATGCTACAACATGCCTACCTGGTTTGGCTTCCTGCTTTCTATTGCTTGAATATCTAGGAAGTGGAAACTTTGCTCTAGCTGCAAAATAAGACAAACAACCTATCAATATGATCAACACTGCGTAGGCTAGGATGTAGGAAATGCAACTTTAAATCCGGCGCGACAGTCATTTTTATAGCCAATAAAAAATAATAGTGAGTGAGTGAGTATGGTTTTACGCCGCTTTTGGCAATATTCCAGCAATATCTCAGGGGGGGTCACCAGAAATTTATCATCCAAAACTGGCTCCCACAGGAGATATAACTTAGGTGAGATCAAGCGATATCTACATTGTAGATATCACTACAATGAAATTGCATCACAATGCTTTGCAGACCATTGTGACATCATTGGTTACCATGAAGTCACAAACAAATGACATCATTAATGGCTCTGCTACGTAAGCTGTTAGCACTTTTTACACTTAAGACACTGCTAATTACTGTCTACAAACTGAAAAAGTTGGGAAAATGATGCAAGCCTCGGAGTTTTTCCACTTTTATCAACTCATGTTGATATATTTTATATCAAAAGATTCTCTATATAAAAATAATAAATGGCATTGGTACTCTTTGAGGGAAAAAAAAAGTGTTCCTTCCAAATCACAAGTGTTTGTGTCACACTTGTGTCATTCGACCAACACAGACTGATAGAGACTGGTGAGGTCTTGTGTCAGCGGACCAACACAGCTGAGTTACTTCAGCAATGTGAAATTACCAGCCATTACCACTCCTGGATGTTAAATCTCATTACAAATACTTCAATTTAGGAAATTCTTCATATTGTGATTGTGTTACATGTGTCACAATCCTTAGGAATGGGATAAAGATAATGAGAGAAGTGTGCACATGATTCAGTGATAAATTCAGATGTCCTACAAACAACAGAACATCAAAGTGAATGTTTCAAGATTTCTGAAGGCAAAAATTATTTCAATTTTCCAGCTCTGACATAATGCAGATGAGAAGCCTCAAGCTTGTCATGACCTGTGAGCTGACGAATATCCACTTGGGAATTTATTCTGGCTTTTTAACTTAAAAAAGGAAGCTTGTCTAAACTGTGTGAAATTAGCTAAATTTGAAAACAGGAGTTTCTTCTCTTTTTCGAAATAACCAATTGAGAAATGCCAAAAATTACTCAAATAATACATTTTTTGGACAAAACTGGTTTCCTAACTGCGTAAACTGGCAGATCATGGGGGAAATGTAAGGAGCTGTAAATCAGCCAGCAGGAAACTTCCCCCATGAGTAGAAGATTGTCCATTCATAATTTCAAGATGCTGACATCACACCCTTGAGCAATATGGAATTACATTGTTACCATGACAATAACTGGCAGAATGAGGAAGCGCCTTTAAAAATGCAAGATAAAAATTAAAATAATGGACTACAGGTAATTAATAGTTTTTAAATAGAAATATTTTAGATTTGAGATTAATGAAAGCATCTCCTTGAATTGTTAAAAGGAAAAGCATTGATTGAGGCATTAAACGTGTTACATATCCACAGGTGACAAGCCAAAGTATTCCTGTTCAGATGAGAGAGTGAACGTTGTTAAATGCTGCAGTCAGCAATTTTCCAGTTATAGCACAGTGGCCTTAAGATCAAGTCTGGACAAGGCAAACCAGTGACAGAAAACATGAGCAGCGATGTTACAGGGCTTGATGACACACAATTAACGAAGTCACACAGTCTGGACACTGGGGCCTACACTACCCTGGACACCCAATCCTCCAGTCACCTCCTGTGACAAGCATGTGACATTGGGGCCTACTCTACCCTGGATATCCAATCCTCTTTAGTCACCTCCTGTGACAAGCATGTGACACTGGGGCCTACTCTACCCTGGACACCCAATCCTTGTGAGTCACCTCCTGTGACAAGCATGTGACACTGGGGCCTACTCTACCATGGACATCCAATCCTCTTTAGTCACCTTCTGTGACAAGCATGTGACACTGGGGCCTACTCTATCTCCTGTGACAAGCATGTGACACTGGGGCCTACTCTACCCTGGACACCCAATCCTCCAGTCACCTCCTGTGACAAGCATGTGACACTGGGGCCTACTCTATCTCCTGTGACAAGCATGTGACACTGGGTCCTACTCTACCCTGGACACCCAATCCTCCAGTCACCTCCTGTGACAAGCGTGTGACACTGGGGCCTACTCTATCTCCTGTGACAAGCATGTAACACTGGGGCCTACTCTACCCTGGACACCCAGTCCTCTTTAGTCACCTCCTGTGACAAGCATGTGACACTGGGGCCTACTCTACCCTGGACACCCAATCCTCTTTAGTCACCTCCTGTGACAAGCATGTGACACTGGGGCCTACTCTATCTCCTGTGACAAGCATGTAACACTGGGGCCTACTCTACCCTGGACACCCAGTCCTTTTTAGTCACCTCCTGTGACAAGCATGTGACACTGGGGCCTACTCTACCATGGACACCCAATCCTCTTTAGTCACCTTCTGTGACAAGCATGTGACACTGGGGCCTACTCTATCTCCTGTGACAAGCATGTGACACTGGGGCCTACTCTACCCTGGAAACCCAATCCTCCAGTCACCTCCTGTGACAAGCATGTGACACTGGGGCCTACTCTATCTCCTGTGACAAGCATGTGACACTGGGGCCTACTCTACCCTGGAAACCCAATCCTCCAGTCACCTCCTGTGACAAGCATGTGACACTGGGGCCTACTCTATCTCCTGTGACAAGCATGTGACACTGGGTCCTACTCTACCCTGGACATCCAATCCTCCAGTCACCTCCTGTGACAAGCATGTGACACTGGGGCCTACTCTACCCTGGACACCCAGTCCTCTTTAGTCACCTCCTGTGACAAGCATGTGACACTGGGGCCTACTCTACCATGGACACCCAATCCTCTTTAGTCACCTCCTGTGACAAGCATGTGACACTGGGGCCTACTCTATCTCCTGTGACAAGCATGTGACACTGGGGCCTACTCTCCCTCCTGTGACAAGCATGTGACACTGGGGCCTACTCTACCTCCTGTGACAAGCATGTGACACTGGGGGCATCAGTTCTCCCCCACAGGGAACCCCTAAAGAACATCCAACTAAGTGTGAAGAACACTCACCTTCGTAGGCACTCGGGCTGCCAGCACAAACAGGCGGCATGGTGAAAAGGCCTGAAAAATAGAAACAAAAGATATATTTCAACTCTCATTTCATAAAAAAATAATATCTAATCAATATTCAACCCAAAGGAATGGAAATAAATCCTTCAAGCTGAAACACATGTTCTCAAAGATGACATCAACTCAGGTTTAGAATGACATGAACAAAACATCTTGCCCGTTGTTTTATTTCATTCATTCAGTCCTATAAACACAGTGTAGAAGAGTTTCTCTCACTTTTTGCATGGTCTGGCTGAATGGCATCCAACAAGTGTTATTCCCGAGTACAAGGCATGGTTACTGACGTATGAAGAATGCCAACCAACTGAGAGGGGAAGCACACCACAAACAGCTGGTGATTTGTCAGGGTGTAACCATTGATCTGAGTGTCGATGCATCGCTATGTTTTGGGGCCTGACAATACACGTTTGGTGTACCCTATTGGTATAATAAATGACCTCGACTGGCCCTCCAGGGTTGTACTCCCATACTCTACACCAGTTTATATAAGTAGGGGGTCATGTATCAGTAGAAGACATATGCATATTTCGGGAACACATGTACTTTGGTTTTAAAGCCATTATTAGTTTAATTACCTGATGTTTAATGGACCTGTAGTCATTCCCCATGACAATAGACTAAAGCTCCTGACAGAGGTATGCCAGACAGAAATATTCCAGTTGTATCAAGGATGCATTTAAATAATCGTGTCTGGACCAGACAAACCAGTGACTGATATTATGATGATATGATGATAGATAAATATTTTAAAAAAGCAGTGGGGCCATATAACATTGTATTATATACATGTATTATATAGGTATCACATAGAAGTTGTTCGAATTTCACTTAACAGTGCTAAATGGGCCCATATCAGAAAATTTCTGGAATGATCCCTGAGACATTATAGAGAGGAAGAGTCTTCAACTTGTCATGCTACAGCAAATACGAGAACATGATTAAGTTACTTAACAATTACTGCTCTCTGAACAAGAGACAGCTTACGTGTTAAGACAGGAATTAATGTAAACAAGTCCCCAAAGCCATGATTAATGACAACAGTTTATGATGCAGTTTGAGTGACATTTTACACTGCCTCACATCAGTAGACATCCACACTAGACTTTGCACAATGTTCCCAAGTGGGGAATCAACAACAGGTTGTTGGTATGACCACAACACTTTAACCACTTGGCTACCTAACGACCCCTTGGCATGATGGCATTAGACCGCCTCCGTGGTCTTGTGGTAGAGCGTCCGCCCGGAGAGCGGAAGGTCCAGGGTTCGATCCCGGGCCGCGTCATACAAAAAGAGCTTAAAAGATTGTACTTGTTGTTACCCTGTCTGGCGCTCGGCATTAAGGGGCTAAAACAAGGACTGGTCGGCTCGGAGTCAGTATACTGTGTCTGAGTGGGGTATTCATGTTAAACTGCGGCATGGTATCTCAGTGAGCTAGCACTATAAATCGGCATCAGTCCGGACTAGTACAAGCAGCCACACACACACATACACGTGCATGCACGTCGCTATATAAGTGCAATAATCTTGGACGCGACGTTAAACCCAATTTCACCTCACCTCATGATGGCATTAGAGAGCAGTTATCTCCCTTGGGACTGTGCACAGTAGATCTGTAACTAACACATTCCATATACGGTACGTATGATTTCATGTAGAGTTGCTATCGTATAAATGTATCATAGACATCTATTGTTTCGTATCAGTTACTCCATCACTTACATCCAGTGTGGATACATATTACCAAAAGAGACACAGATATCAGGGAAATTATTTTCATTAGGGTAAAAAAAGTAATAGTCTGCGTTCTCAGGCACCACCCACATCATCATAAAATCTGCCGCACGTTTTGTTCTTATTTCCGTGTTCAAAAAAATATAAAAATCCTAAAACTTAAACACAATGCACAAAAAAAATTGAAAATGGAAACAAAAACGAAACGTGAAATGAACTTGATGATAATGTGGGCAGTGCCTGAGAACCAAGACTATTTTTTATTAAGCCTTATATTTCTCTCTTGTTTCTTTACCACTGGTTTTATCTAATAAATCCATTACAGTGTTTGTTTAAATTTCTAAGCATTCTAAGATGATGGTTGGGTCATTTGAAGATGTCATTAAGTGCTTAACGGAACACGTATGTTTGTTCGTTGTTTAACACCACACTAAATATTCCAGCTATATGACAGCGGCTGTTAATAATAGAATCTGGAGAAGACAATCCAGTGATCAATATTGTGCGCAACAATCCAGGTTGTCAGGGAACAGTGAGACAATATAAACCTCTTTGCATCTCCAAGGTCAGTCTACATGTCATGTCTACGTTCATCATGGCCGCCAACTGGTTTCTGACAGATCCAGTCATGAGGTCAGATTTGTATATATTTGTGACCCACCAGGAGATAAGAGACCTTATCATGCTTATAGGTGATAAATCACATTTTGACTTTTCATTATATATTAAAACTATAGTATCTTCTGCACACAAAAATACAATTCACAAGCTATAAATCATATTTATTACTGAGATACATCAAACATTTGAACTCATTTTCCGACTTATAACTGTTTATGCAATAATTACAGTTTTTATACATAATGTCTGATGAATTGAAAGCAGATATGTATGCTGAAAGGTTTTGTAATAATGTTTTTATTTCATAATGAACAAACAAGAGAAAAACATGATATTTTTGTACAGTCCGCACACATGGCGATCTTCCCCGAAGTTGACGTCAAGCGTCTTTATGACGTCACAGCACAACTGAATCTAGCACCCGTAAGGTCCCTTATCTCCTGGTGGCTAATGTTTCATATGTCTACCCCAAATGTTTTAAAAATATATCGTTAAATAAAAAAACCTGGAAGTGATTGAAATTTGCTTGTTCAATAACTATCATAAATTATGCATCTTCTTGTTTATAACTTGTCTAAAAGTCTTTGTATACAAGTGGATTTTTTGCAAGGAAACCCTAAATATACCTTTTCTATATTTTGCTATATATATATTTCATGCCATTTTGAGTAAGATAATCTGTGAAACAAGAAATAAAATTGGTCTGGCCTTATGACATAAAATATATCCTGTCATACAGATTAACCTGTCTTGTGGCAGTCAATTTGTCATAACACCTTGCAGGTATGTCGACATGCCTTACCATTCAAACCTGTAGTAAATGAAACATGATTCATCGACCTAGCCGGTCCGCCAAACCTTTTCCGTTTGTATATGTCTCATATGTCTGCCACTTTTTCTCAATTCAAATTAATTATTCTGTTTCCTTTGAAAGATGTGCAGAAATGAACATCTGTATTTCCCTCATGTCTATAGTTTATACAATGTTTATATTGAATAAAGTATTCAGAAATGCATTCATATTAAAACAAGATTTTGGGGGCTGATGTTTGTTCTTGTTATATTTTTGGTTAAACAGCACACTCAGAAATATTCCAGCTATATGAAAGTGGCATCAAATTATCAAGTCTTGACCAGAAAGTCCAGTGATTGACATCATGAGCATCGATCTACTTAATTGGGATACGATAACATGCATCAACCAAGTCAGCGAGCCTGAACACCCAAACACGTTAGTCACCTCTTACGACAAGCATTGTCGCCTCTTACGGCAAGCAAGGGTTGCTGAAGACCTATTCTACTCTTGATCTTCAAGGGGAACCAGTATGGAGAAACAGCAGCACAGGACCTCGTTCCACAATGCAATCTCAGCACTACGATGATCATAAGCCTATGTTAAAGTAGGGTACCTTACCTTAGCACTAACAACAATTTGTGGAACGGGGCCCAGATTATGATACCAAAGATCATTATCACGTCTAATGGGGAATTCAAAAACACATTCATTGGATCCTGCCATGACTAAGGAATGCAACTCTGCACAGCAAACGGAATGTAGAATAATAGACGGTTACCACTTTCATGCATCCAACCAGTAAGCACAGGTTTAGTGCTGACAAACCTGAATAATCACACAATATGCGTTTCCTGGCATGGCAAAGGGAGGCAACTGTATGGCAAATTGAGGGGCCTTAGATGACTGAGAGCCACTACCCAGCTGAGAGTCGATACCAAGTATCAGTAATATTCTTCCTGGATGCCAGGCCCCATCACTTCCTAGTAACTGTGTCAACACAACTCACGGGGAGTCAATAACACTTAAGAAATCCTCCACCGTCTCATATTTAAAGTATGAATAAAAATAAACACACCCTCCACAGAAACTCGGTAGACTGACGATGAATACCATGGCTATGTCACAGCAGGACATAAAGACGACTTGTAGTTCTCAGATCAAATAGTACACGCCTTTCATGTTTAATACTGTGACTACAGATTTTTTATTTCTGTGAGTTTTTTCCCCCTCGGTCATATTCGTGCTTCTTTGGCCAAGGTGTCACAAATGATTTGCATGTAGCTTTTAGATGCTACAGTGAACTAGTGCAGCCAAGTCTGGTAACACTGAACCATTCAAATATCGCACTGCCACACCCCAGGACAATATCATATTCAAACAGTGTAATCATGGTAATGCCTTTGACAAACGAAACATTTGACCTCGTATTATCATATAATACTTAGTCAAACACACACAGCGACCCAGGATCTTATCGAAAGCAATGTTTCTTAGCGCATCATTTTACTTCCTTCATAAGAATCCATTCAATAAGTCCCACATTGTTCAGTAGATTAATAGTTAGGATTTATTATTCTGCTCAAAGCTCAAGTTTCATAATCTACAAATCCAAAATAATTTGTGCAACATAGTTTTGATTCTGAATTTTACTGTTTGAAAAATAATAGATGTGGCTTCATAAATACCAGTGTGAACATATAATGCTGGTCCACATCTAGCCTTGCTCCAAGGCTGTACTGAAAGATAAGTCCATGGATCTGTAGTAATTCTGTCCTCCTAACAGGGAAGTCTAGATATGTGGACAGTACAGTCTCCTTTAGGCACAACTAGTTCTCATTATTTA